AGCATTTTCATCGGTTTTCCTTCTAGTGCAGTGTCTGCTTCACAAATTTAACACAATCATCTATGAAAATATCCAAGGAAAACCAATCAATTCCAAGACAATTCAATCATTTTTGAAGGTGAAATAATTTCTTGCAATACGATGTTGTCTACCCTTTAATTGACCTCTTGTTGGTGCATATGTGAAAGGAGGCAATTTAATAAGGACGTGAAGAATCATTATTTCTAAGTCTGTTTGTTTGGAGTCAGGGATAGAAATTTATTATGTTCGAGGTTTGTTGATTGTTTAGGTGACTCGCAGTTCATTATAGAAAAATGGATACTTCGCTGAAAACGTCAGATAGTAGCCAAGTGCTAGGGTAAGATAATTGGAATTTTTTATTGAGCTTGTCTTTTTTTGGCTGAAGGCTGAATTCAATATACACTGGGGTCACAAAAGTATGGAAACGGTGCTAAAATGGCGGCTAACAGAAGCAAAAGGCCTAAGCCGACTGGTTTTTAAAACAGAAGTTCAGCGCTAAGGGGTTTTTGTAACGAACGCTTTCGCCACGAAATTTTTTGCGTAATTCCAATGGCTTTTGAATCAAAATAAATTTGAAAGATTACCTTACTTTTTTTGCGGGTGAAAAGTTAGGGGAGCATTGGACCGGTGCTTTGAAACATTTCTGGAAAATATTTTCGAAGGATTCATAAAAAATTGCCTCAAAGTACAGACGAAACTTAATAAGCATAAGATAATTTAATTAAACTTGAAACTTAATACGTGCACCTTTGTTCTGATTTCAAATATATTACCGAGAAGATCACTTTGGCTGAGATATCAGGCTTTAGGTTATTAAAAGTGATATCAGTTGAACAATTTCTAAAGCTGTCATTTAGTGATCAAAATAGTTTCCTTGCTAAATAACATAGATGCTTTCGGTGTAGATGATTTTTATCATCAATTTTCAAAGCTGACTAAACATTGAACATTTTGCTTTAATTTTTTGATTGTCATATGCTTAGATAATGAGTAAATCAGAATTTAAGATAAACAAGTCACTAACATCAAATGTAGAGCAACTTTGTGTCAGTATTGAAACTTTAAAATCAAAGTGCACTGCTAACATCACTATCTCAGTTAAATTTTTTCATGAAAAACAAGCTTCAAGCAGTTTGCTTCAAATTTCAACATTTTTCGTACACGTTTCTTCAATAAAGTGAAACTTTGTGGTCATCTTTCATGAATTCTGAGATAATCTTTTACATAATTGTTTTAAAGCAATGCTTCAAAGTTTTTCTTCCAATTTTTTAAAACATTTTACTATTCTTGGGCATACTTTTATTATGTTTGATTATTTCCATTCTTAAAAATTGAATTCATTACTTTATGAAACCCCATGGGGCCTTGAAATCCTGTGGAATTGGCCCCTTTCTCCACCCCTTCGCTAGAGCCCTGGTTATTTGATGCCTCTCAGGTTCCTAATAGAACATGGAGTTGGTCAACAGTTTCTGATAAAATATTTTCAAACAAGAACAGTTTTATTAAACACAAGCCTTCAGATTTGTTAATTTTAATTGATTCTAATGTTCATTAAAACCATGTAATCCTTTGTTAAGGTACTTTGCTGTAAAGTAAACCAAAGACAACCAAAAGGGTATTAAGAAGAGTAGGGATTCGCAAAAATTTTCAAAGGCACTGTTTTTATCAGAAAGAATTCTAAAATATAGATTTAGTGAGTGGAAAGTACCCCTTCTCTCCCCCATGGTACCAAAATGTATAAATGTAAATAATTATGTTGTCTTAGGCACAGTTATAAACCATCAATCTCATAATCTGAAAAACCCCAGCCTTGATCTGGATCTCAGTCAGGTTTTTTATGTGGGATCCGCCCCTGAACATTGACCAAAATGTCCAGGGTAGAGACTACCAAACATTCAGCAATTCTTCAAAAAACGTTTCTCAAGATCACAATCCCTGTCCTGACTCTGGTATCTTCAAACCCTATTAAAAAGAAACCCCTTCCTCAAATGCCCTAGTTTTTGTTGAAATCGTCATAACTGTGTTTTGAACATATCACAGAATATCTGAATTCATTTACACATGCATTTCATTGCACTTGGCCCAATATTTCTAATGAGGGACTGCAGATGATACAGTTACCCTCAATTAGCTGATGAAATTGGTCTAGAAATGGCTGAGTATTTTTGGAATTTTTTACTTGGTTGAGGGAAGTGTAATGGGGAAGCGCTTACTGAGCTTTCTATGCAAAGCTTATTTAGTCAATCTGGGAAGTGTAATAGCACCTTATCCATTGGGCACAGAATGATTTGCAAGTTACCAAATAGAACCTTTTTATGTAATGGTTTTGTGCAGCTCCCATGCACCTTGATACGGAGGGGAATTCAATTCGTTGAATTGAATTAATTTTTCTCTAGAAATAAAGAACTTGGTATTTTGAAGGTTCTGCTGCTGTTCACTTGTGTAATGTTCATTGTGCCAATTATCTCCTACTTTGCTATGAAATCATGGCTTTTTGAAGGTAAGTCATTTATGTACCGTTTTTTTCTTTTCATATTTTGTAAATTTATAGGCTTTAAGTTGTTGCTTGAAGCCAGTGGCAGAGATAGTAGCAAAAACATTGGACAAACCCTAATTGTACTTGAAAAATAGGCTTATGCCATATCTTCCCTTTTTCTCAGGCTTATCAGTTCTGATACCAATTCTTTGTTGTGAAAAAAAATTGTTCTTAGTTCATTTGTTCATGTCAATAGTTGTCTAATGATTTTATTTTGTTACGATAAATGAAAGCCCAAGCAAGTGAACTGAAAATTCATAGAACTTGTTCGAAAATTTTACTTTTGAGGCTCTTTTTATGAGATATTACTAACCCATTCTAATTTTAGATTAGAAGAGTTCCTTCCTGGCAAACTTCTTCTGTTGAGAATTGACAATTCCTTTCTCTGAATCAAGTCTTTTGATTCTCTATTTTTAAAAACGCTTTGTTTAAGTTTTATCAAAATTCAAACCTTTTTGTAGATGTTTGATTAGTTTGGCTGGACTGGAAAATTGTTGAAGTATGAAAACTAAATAGAGGGGTACTCTTATAAGTGAAAGAAGTTGTTTGTTTATTTCCAGAGAATAACCTGATCACTTGCTGTTATATAACTATTTCAGAACTCGCAAAAATGGCATCAAGATACAAAATAGAGCTATTTTTTGTTTTTAGGGGTTCTTGGATATGAAAATGGAGCTGTCAATGCAGCCATAGGCACAGTAGTTATTGTTCATGTTATAATTGGCTGGTATATTTGGATGGCTGTGAAGGAGGATAATGAAGATAGAAGGCCTACTAAAAGGGACTAAGCCTATTTTCATAGTATATTTGATTGAATAGAAATAAATACTGCTTTATATAAAAGGTAAAATGAATTGATGGTCCCTGTTTGAAACCAAATACCTCATATATCATGAAACGATATTGTTTTCCTTGTATTTTTTTAGGTGGGTTGAAAATAACATTTAGCTTAATTTATGGTGTAGCATGACTGAAGTTTTCCCCTTTAATTTGCTGTATAGCATTAAAATCTTTGGTAGGTTGCCACAGCAGCTGCACAGTTTATTTGCGATTATTATATTGTCAAAATTAGAAGGAATTTAAAAGATTCAAAGGAGAAAGTTGGTTTCACCAAAATGGCAATAGCTGGAGGCACTGAAGTTAAATAGTTGAACATTCAATGCTGAATAACTCTGTGAATTAATCATGTCAAACAGCAAGGATAAAAACCAAGTTCATTGTAGACATCCAGCATAGACAAATTCATTAAATTCTGGTAATGCTAATGAAATACACACACTGTTATTATGTTCTAAATCTATACATACTTCGATTCTATTTTTATAATTAATTATGTATACATTTTTACGTTATCAAATTACAAGAAAAATTCAATAATATGTTAAACTCACATAGTGGCCCTGCATAATAAAATCGCCAGTTGAAGAAAAAGTACAACAAAATAAGAAATATTTAAAATTTTTGGACATGGCACGTATAAGTCTCATCGATTCAAAATGCCAAGGAAATGTCACACTTTTCCATTAAAATGGTGATTCCATTAAATTAGTGTGAAAAAGGCATCATTTCAAACGTGTAACTGTAAATGCACAAAAATATCCAAAATATGTTGTGAGTGAGGGAGGGGAGGGGAGGAGAGGGGACAAAACGGTCGAGGCTCCTCTGTATCAATGGTTGGTTGAAACTGGGGCTGTTATAGCAATTCTTTTGATGTTCTGTCATTATTTCCAACCCATGCTTGCTTACTTTCTCATATTTCAGAGAGGGCCTATTAGTTTTACATAATTTGTTCTTTTAAGGACTAAGTGCGATGAGTGATATTGGCTTATTATAATACAAGTGGTTCCACTAAAAACGGGCTAGGTTTTCTAAAGTTTTGATGGCAAAATCATAATGTAACTTTTGTTTTCTGGCAATATGGCCAAATATTTAAACAATTTTAATCAAGACATAAATTTTACGGCGAGTTTGTTATCAACAAATGTCTGTATATCAGAACCAGAATCGGATGGTAATCTGATCCAGAATCTGCAACCTTCTACTGCTTTAAATCATCGTTCTTTACGTACATCTCAGCAAGCAATTGCTTTACCAAGAAGGAGAGAGCAAGATCCATAGGATCCATAGCTCCCCGTTGAATCCATTTCGGAATCGTTAATGAAGCGTGGCTGAAGCCGAGTTTTTCAAGCACCCAGTCAATATTGACAGGGTCGACCCGTGTACCTGCCCACCCAAGCAAACGTATGCCCGGCTCTAGTTTCCACGCTTTGCTTCGAAACTGGCGATACTTCTCTTTCTTGGCCTGTGTTTCTACTTGAGTCTTCCCATCCTTTCCATCCTTTGCGTCGATTTTTACATTTTCCTGTTTTGGTTCAACAGTTTTGCCTCCTCTGTAAGGTCGTCCACTTTGTGCTAAGGGGTTGGAAAGTCAATAAAAGAAAAAGTTAGCCAATTATATCTGTCTGAAAACTTCTTTCATTGATACCAGTTATTTGGATTGGAGGAGAGTTTAAATTTGAATTGGAGAGGGCATTGATCGCCTAGGACACAAATAACAGATATCGGAAGGCAAGGTTTAATTTGAAAGGATTTCAAAGTAGCAACGGTATTCCCGAAAATTGAGCATCTGAGGACGGATGGGAAGCTTAATTAACATACAAACATATTGACATTTGAACCAAATTACCAAATAAGACATTAAATTACCAAATAAGATTAATCTAGTTGCTGCCAAAATCCACCAGGCAAGAAAAAGCCGACTGAGTTCAGTAGCAAATTGACTGCATTATCGCGACCCTGGTCATCTGAACATCTGATTCATGCTCCGACGTGTACTATAGACAGCCCGTATTCCTTACCGCAGGCCCAGCAACTTGCTTACATGCTAGTTTGTCTTATTTTCCCATACTTTTGCCATTTGACTCAAACATGTAGCATGGTTTTATTTTCGTCATTTCACGGGCATTATGATTTTTTGAAGTTTATGAGCACCAATGAAGTAAAAAGATACTTATTGAAGTAAAGAAAACCGGGGGTTGACCGGCAGGGTAAAAGCGAGGCCCATGTGCACAGCAGCGCGGACGTCCTTTATCTAGCGTCCCTCTCACAAAAGATGCATAGCACAACAGTGGCGGGCTGGGGAAGAGATCGCAAGGGGGGGGGGCAAAGGGGAAAATGGCGCCCCTTATTGTTATATCTTCAAAGTCTTTCTTTCTTTCAAAGTCTCAGAAATATGGAGTGAAGTACAAGAGTTCGGAAGCACGCCGATCTATATCTAGTTATCTGTGGCCGTACCGAAAGACCTTCAAATGAGGGAGAGGGGGTAGTCAATCACTCACAGGACGTGAAAGAGAACTTTCAAAATGAGCATGTTGTTCTTTGTAAAACCTAAGAGTATTTTTGTGTGTTATCAAACTGCACAACAATGATAATTAAGGACGTCATTATTGATGGAGGTTAGGGGTAGAAAGACGGGGCAAACTTGTTTAGGAGTTTTGTGAAGGCCGCCACCATGGTTAGCGGCAAAAAAATGCAAAAAAGACGTTCTAGGATTTTCGGAAAATTCATCCAAATAACCAACATCGCCCTAGACCCATGGAAGATCCTGGACAATACCCAAAAGCTTTCTTCAAAATATGGTCCAAAGGCCGTTTGAGGCAGGCCTTGTTTGGGTTTACTACGAATTTGCCTGATTTAACAAAATTAGCTGAAATTCTTTAGCTGTATTATAATATCAGACCTTCGAAACCTTTAGTTAGATCTATAGATCGAAACAAGCCCAAGATATAAATATACTGTCTGAGGCGGCACCATGGTTGCCGCTTAGCATAAGCGTACGGCGGAATTTTTACAGGGGGGGGGGCGGTAGGATTTTTGCCCGAGTACAGAGGCATGCATATATTTATGAGCCTGTTGGTGATAAGGAACTTGACATAGGAATATTTACATTACGAGTTCTTTTTCACCGAAATATCTGAAGTTAAAAATAGTCAGTTGAGAGTTGAGCAAACCAATCAGAGACATGTTTGGGGGGACATGTTATCCTTATCGATTCTTCTATAATGTCTACTGTTCAGATCTAAAAGTTTGATCTAAGTTTCTCATAGATAAGGGCAGCAATGTATAATATTTTCCAATATTTTATGTAATATCACTTAAAATACTACTATTAACTCTTGAATTCGACTACAGTAAAAAAAATGTGGGTCCCGACCCTTTCTATGTCCAAATATATCAATCATCGCATTCATGTCACTTTTCAAAACTTCGTTTGAAAATTTCCTCTCGATGCTAAGTAGTGCCAAATTGCTCAGCCGTTCTTGGCCCATGGTTGATCTGAGATATGTTTTCAGCCGTCGAAGGCCACTGAATGATCTTTCAGCTGAGCAAGATGTTGCTGGAATCGTTGCTAGCAATGTTGTTTAATACAGGAAAGGCAGTACTTGATGCAAACCTTCGAAACATCTTCTGGACAAGCATTGCTGCATTATTACCCTACGATTCAGAAGTCCTGCCGCCCCCTAGCCCCCCCCCCCTCGGTCCGTACTCTTATGCCTCTGAAGGAAACGAAAACCTTCGAATTCATATGCTTCCAGTTTGCTGGAAAACGCACTTTTTGGAGTAATTTTTTAATAATTCAAGCTTTCTCTTAAATGAGTATCTACAGGCTGATAGCTATTTGATGGTTTTAATAGATTTTCTTGACATAATCTCTTAGCTTTTTTTCCTAGCATTTCTCATTATTTCAGTAAATCAAAACGCCTTGCGCCTTCCCAATAATTTTATGAAATGGCGCCTAATCTGGACATTTACCGCCAAGCCCAACATTATTGGCGGGTTCCTCAAAAACACCTCCTACCTTGGTACATCCCTGGTATCTACTTGTGCAACGATCTTGAGATGGTGTTTGGCGATCGTTTATAAGCAAATCAAAGTTAGTAAGAAAGAAGAGGTGGCATATTGCAAGGTGATTCTTGTTTTTTTCTTTTGGGTTCTTTTATGTAAATCTTCCTCGCTTGTTAGCTATTCATTTTGGTGCCCCTGATATTTGATGGGCAGGGGGGCGATTTTGCCCCCCCCTACCCCCTGCCAGCTCGCCACTGTAGCACAACCCCGTGAAACGTGACCTTGAGTTGTTTTTGAATCAGCTGATCACTACGTAATTCAACCTCGTACTCGTGGTCGATCTATACAAGAAATAGGCGGGTTTTGATAAATACAGCGTGTGCAGTTTAACCACACTGGGTGCTACGATTCTGGAAACGCAAATTGTGGTTAAACCGTGGCTCCATTAAGATGCTATACAAAGTTGAAACATGGGTACTTACATGATACTACAGCGACCGCATCTTTTTCTTTAAAGTACGTAAGAATGAGGTCATGGAGGAAGAAAAGCAAGCTCACATCCATCGTTACACTGAGACTGTCGCGGAAGTAAGAAGTGAGACTCGAATCAACCACATGAGGGCTGGGTACTGTTGACAGCCAGGGACTCAATGACGCTGGGCTGTTGTTGCAAAGAACCTTGGCAATTCTGCTAGTCATTGGTTGATCATGCTCATTTGTCAACGAAAGTTGAAAGCATGGCATGCCAAATATGATTTCCGAGTCATTCTCGTACTTTACTTTCGGGGCAAAAGAGACTCTCTTAGCTGCAGATGGTTTGGTTGTCAATCTGCCAACAAAGCTTGATGATTCAGATGAAGACGTTTGCTCGCTGGTTGACGTGACGTATTCCAGCCAATCAGCTACTGATGCGCCTAAGGACGGAGGGTTTCTTCTGCCACGAGAAACCTTGCGTATGGTAGCCATGTATACTAGAAAAAGTATGGAAGCAAAAAGTGAGAAACTATGAATCAAATGAACAATTAACATTGAGCTGGAAACGCAGAGGAGACATCCTTTGCCATTGTGCTTTTTCTTAGGTTAGGTACTATCTTTCTACTGGTTTTGATGCATTTTAAGCTGCATATAATGGCACTGCGTAGCGGCATGCGCAGCAAATTCAAACGCAACATGACAGCATTTGATGCAATAAAATAACGATTTTGTACAAGAAATTAATATTTGGTACGGCGTTTCGAGCATTACTCTTCATCAGGTCAAAAAAGAGTTATAAAAGCGACAAATGAGTGAATGAGTGTTTAATTAAAGAGTTGTGCTCTAAACTTCGTACCAAATATCCATTTTTTGAAAAAGTTCGTTATTTTATTGCATCAAATTTTGTTGATTTTCGACGTACAAAACACACAACTTCATTGATTGACAACATGACAGCAATGTGATTAGAATTGTAGAAGAGATTAGAACATGGGCCAATGAGAAGAGGAGTATTTTTTTATGGATAGAAATAAAGTTTTGTTGATGTAACATGGTTTTGTCTCTCTCTAAATGCCCGGTCTACAGAATGAAATGTTCAAAATGTATTAAGGAGTCTATGGAGACAATGGGCAAAAAACGACGCTTTTGAGAATTGAGGGAAAAGTCTGACTCTACACATGACATAATAAGAAAAAAGAAAAGAAGAAAACGAAAAAGAGAGAGAATCCAGAAGTAGATGCCAAGTTACAGTAGAGAAAGAAAACGAAAAAGAGGAAGAAGAAGAAAAAATGAAACAGAGCAAAAAGAAGGGAAGAAGGAAGAAGAAGGAAGAAGAAGAAGAAGAAGGAAGAAGAAGAAGAAGAAGGAAGAAGTAGAAGAAGAAGGAAGATGAAGAAAAAGAAGGAGAAGAAGAAGAAGAAGGAGGAGAAGAAAAAGAAGAAGAAGAAAAATGAAAAAGCAAAGAATGCAAAAAAAGAAGAGAAAGGAGATAAAGAAAAAGAAGAGATGATTATGATGACAAGTAACAGACAAGATATTATACAGCACTAACCTCTTTCCCCCATTCTTTCAGTTGCTGGACCATCATGACCGTCGTTGCCAAGCTGTATTGAAATCCTCTGCACGGAGAAGGCTCGCTCAACCTGACAGCTTTTTTCAATGCAATGCATTTCCGATGAGTATTTGACAATAGGCTCATTTATGGAGAACAGCGCCCAAGTCTGTGCCCGAAAATTTGAGCCATGAAAGCATGTGAGCAAAAGGGAGTCTGACTTCAGGGTGAGGCTTCCTCCGATGAGCAAGTTTTTATCTGGAAATATGCTGGATACATTGACAAGCTGAAGACCAGGCAGTGCGTTCATAATTTCAACCCAATGCTGATATTTCAAACCTGAAATTGTCGATTATAGCTATAAAAAATGTCGGTAAGGACAAAATAGCAGAGTAAACGCAAAATAAATTGTTTTCATTGGAAGAGAATCACTGCACGGGAATCACTGGGGGCATCAAGATATTTCATAAAAATCAAAGAAAGTATACGTGAGGTTGCCATTTATCAGATATATCCAATGAACACCTGAGTTCAAATAAACTGAAAGAAGTGTCAATGTCGCAAATGAAATAAAAGAACATGTTCCCTTACCATCTTGCGTTGATTCTCCACTAGAGCCATCTTGTTTGTCCTCAGCTCCACGCTCTCTTTTCTGCGCAAATGCGTAACTTGATCTTGTAAGCGGAAGGCTTGCAGTAGATTTCAGCGGAGGTGCAGAGGCAAATGCATGCATTCCGCTTCGCTGTTGCTGATTGAAAAACTCCTGTAGTTTTCCCAGCATCTTGATAAAATCTGGTGTTGTTGATCTCGACATTACGATTTGCAGCTCGTCCCACCCTAATTGTCCACAAACTTTAACCTCTGATGTTGGCCTGTTTGATTGACCAATAGCTGTATCGGCGTACACGAAAAAATTATCTTCGTCACCTGAGATGAAAGGCAACTTCTATCACTATTGAAAAACGTATGCAACCAGAGTGTAACGACTTATTTACCGATTCTATCAATACAAAAAAGATGCGTGATACAAAAAAGATAATGTCACCCGGGGATTAATGCAAGAACTACATAAATAAAAAAAACCAAGGGTGGTCTCACTTGCACCCCTGCCTGACCCCTTAGGGTTGCTTGCTAGATTTACATGAATGAGTGTGAAATTTTTTTTCCCAAAATCTTAAACATATTTGTCAACTACGAAAGTTGAGTTTCAGTTGGCGATTTGAAGATACCTTGCAATTCTTCTTCATTAACTTTTGGTAGCTGCCATATGTCTTCTAAATTGCATTTGAAACCAGCGAGGGTAGCCATCAGGATACAAGAGCCCATGTAATCTAGCCTTGTTTCAGCTCCTTTCAGTGACACGCTTGCTAAATGTGACGGGTTTTCACCGAAATTCTCTTCAAAGTTCCCTTTAAAATAAATTGAACATGGAACTTCATATTGCAAACAAGAAAATAGAACTTTTTGAAGAGTTGGGTTAATGGAAACTGAATTAATAAAGGTTTAGATACTGTTAGCTGTGGAGATTGATAGCCAATTTAATGAAGTTACCTCTTGCAGATATGTGGCTCACGTCAATATAACCACCTACAATTCCTCCTTGGGCGTCGAACGAACCTTGGCGAACTGTGATTAGCAGATTGGTTTGTTTTATGCCAGTGTTATTGTAGAGCATACAACTTTTGGCCTGCAGGTCAGTAGTACTCCATCTGAAAAGATAAAATATAAAACATAGTTTATACAATGGAGCTGGCAAGGTGAAGTTCTTTTTTAACTTGATCTTGAGGGCTATTCTTTTCGACATACCTTCCAGATTACATGAATACTTACACGGACTGTCCCATGACATTCCCCATATTAGTAGACACGTCCAGTCGCGATAGATTCAGAGCAAATAAGACTTTGCTTTTCCATTCGGAAATCTCCTCCAATTTTGATGGTGATGTGGCCTGGTCACTAAGTGCATCCGGTGTCATGTTGATGTCACTAGGCACTTGCAATGAATTCCCCAGAGGATCTAAAAATGTTAGAGCAATTTGATGAGAAAATGTTCACAGGGAAAAGTAGCACTTTGTTATAGAAAAAGTTCCTTGCAACATTTTAATCAAGTTTCATAACCCAAACTGATAGGGGCCTTTTGTTGGCAATATTCAGTAAAGCAATTGAAAGCTTCATATTTACATTTTGAACGTCTTTAGCATATATTCAAATGCGACAATATTGCAACTTCTTTCACTTAAAAAGCAGAGGCAAGGTTAGTTAATAGCGTGTTATACTTAGAAGTTCAAGGATACGGTATACCTTTTTAAGTGTGTAAACATGTCAATCAACCACATTCAACATGTAAATAAATATACACAAAAAGTAGCATATACAGTGGCGGCTTGCAGCGGTACTAGTGGTACCAGTCTAGTACCATCTTGTTTTCGTGCCAGCCGCCACTGAGCATACATGTATTATACAAAAGTCGAGTTAAAATCATGATTGCGTAGCGCACTCGGATAATTGCTCAACAAAGGCAAAAAAGATAGAAAGATAGAAAAAACCAAGCAAGGCTCTTGGGACGATCAAAATGAGAGAACTGAACAGGAAAAGCAGATTTCCTTCAATTTTGATATGAAAAACTAGTTGTATGAAGCTACCTCGAGCCGATATGTCAAGGGAACGCTGCAAGAACTCAGAGCGAGAGCCAACACTTGCGGAGGCGCGAGGTAGAAACAGTCCTGTAGGAGATCCCATGATATTGCCGAGAAATGAGCCTCCACTTATTGTTCGACGGTGACCTAGAAAGAGCGAACAAATTACGTGATCACATCACTTGTTATCCGAAAAAACACTTCATGTGAAATTTGAAAATAAAACGCAGGAGTGGAAAAAATTTCATATCAAAATAAAGCACTTTGCCCAATTAACTTGTTAGTTTTTCAGATACGTTTTTGCCTTAAACTTAGTGAAAGTAAAATTAGTACCTTGCCCCTTCTTAAAACTTTTCTGTCTTCTTGGCGTGATCAGTTCAGTTGCAGTTGAAATTGTGCTAATTGGATTCATCCTTTTGCTCCTTTCCGAGCTGGTGACTGAAGATAACGGACTTGACTCGCTGATAAAAAAACAACACATAAAAGAGATTCACATAAAGTCTTGAAGAAGTTTGCCTAAGAATGGTAATACAACAATCAATTCAAGAATAGAATATTCTTGAGACAAGAAATAATTTGAGAGACCTGTCAGCCTTTTGGGACTTATGTGCTGTTTCTCTTGCGTAAACTCCCGACTTGCCCAGGAACATCCTTCGATAGAGGTCTCTCTTATACCAGGCTTTTGGCACATCCAGTATCTCATTTAATCTGCGCATGTCGTAATTAAAAGCCGCTGAACCTATGTCACAGGTTACTGCAAAGGATAAAAACAGATAAAACAGTTTTTGTTAAAAAGATCGTTATTCAAAAAACAAAAATCTGAATACTTTGTAGACGTTAAAAAAGAATCAAACATAAAAAGAACAAAAAACAAGTATACTTATTCCTAGTGTAGTCCCACAGACAGATGGGATAAATTTTTATGCAAAATGATTTTACTTGAACCAAATCAGGTGGTTTGTGAAAAGACAAGGGGAAAATTTCGAGAATTTTCGACTTCAAATGCATAAAACTATTTTAAACACACACATACTTGAAACTTGAACTTCAGTTTTGGAATCCGTAGAATCGGATGAAGAAAATTTTCGTCCTTTGGCTGCTACAAACTGCGATTCTTTGATTCTCTTGCGAAATAAATTGAACTTAATGAATTCAACGTTCAAACTAAGTGAATCTTTTCTTCCTGATATTGGCTGTGGAACGGGGCCGCGTTTCTTTCGTCTCCCTGGGAACATCCCGCTTTCTACAAAACTTCTTTCTGATGTACTCCCATACTGTTTTCCATAAGGATGGAAAATACAAAAGGAAAACCTTGAGAGGCATGCAGTTACACAAAAACCTCCAACATCCGCCTCAGTTGTTTCTTGGCTAAAAGAGACATTCTTGCTTTTTTGGTTTCCCATCTGGGACCTGGCCTTCTTTGTTGCAGAGGCCTGCGGTGACTTAGTGTTATTGAAGTTATATGGAGTTGATGTTGACGAGATCACAAAGTCCAAAGACGGTATTCTTAACAGACATTCGACTTTTGATATTGGCAAACAGCTAAACCGAATGTCGGAAGGTTGCACGTTGATAAAAACAACCACATCGACTGGGAAAGAGGAGTGGTCCGACGTTGAGGATGAAAGCATGGAACCATTGCCGTTGCCAGCCTCTTCTGACGACAGCGAATCCGAGTCGTTTCTGTCGAGTTCGTCGTTATTTTGATACTGCAGTGAAATAGGAGCAAGAGCGTTGTCAACAAAGTCCAGCAAAGATGGTAACAGAATCATCTCCCTGGGAAGTTGCTGAATATTGAGCCAAGCATGTAATCCCGCTGACTTTGAGCCACTTCTCCAACTACTTGATGAACTGGAGACATTGTCTGCAATGTCCGAAGCTTCGCTGGTCGAAAATGAGCCAGTTCTGGGAAACCTTTCGGCAGTTGTCTTTGACTGATAATGTACCCGGACACTGACTGCAGGAATTAAGAGGACTGTGTCTTCGGCGGCGTGGGCATTCTGTGATTGGTTGAAAAGGCTTGTTCTTGATCGCTTGGGGAAACCACGTTGTCCTAAGTCTCCCAGAGAAAAGCGATCTTTTTTGTACTGATTTCCGAACTGAGGATGCATAGGTTCGGATGTCTTTCGCAAATCACCTCGGCTTAGGTTCTCTCTGAAATCCAAATTGGAATAAAGATAAGCAAAGAAATCTATTAAATTAACAAAAAATGAAAAATCCGAAAATAGACTAAATTTAACCATTTTAAGTATTAGAAAAAACAGAAGTTAGTTCTCCTGCAAAGAATGGATCCTCTTCATATCCTACAGCGTGGACAAGCAAAAAACCAGCAAAAAGGTACCTCATGTGGACTTCTTCATCGTCATCTTTGTTGTTGTCGTTATGCAGAACGCACTTGCCACTGTCGATATCAACGACAACATCTAGCTGAAAATCAAGCATATTTGAAAAGCCCTGTCGCTGTGATGACGTAGAACGGACATCGTATGTGCTATCACTAAACGTAACCTTTGCCGGCCCGGGGGAAAGCAGATTTTTTTTCTCCTTCTTCTTTACCAGTGTTTTCTTTACTGACTTGACTTTATGAACCCGTCTGTCGTCATCCTCTCCCGGGTCCAGATCGTAAAGTGCGTCCATCTCATGGTCAGACAAGTCAGGATGACTTCTGAAATCGGCAACCTTTAAAAACCCACCGTCAACAGCATCCCCATCAAAAATGTGTCTTGGGCTGTCCTCGCCCTGCAACTGACGATTTCTTTTAGGAAGGAGGTCCAGCTCTCTCGTTTCTAAGTATCTTTCTACACTGCTGTGTCTTCTATGAAATGTCCTCTTTGGGCTCAAAGTATCTGATAACTCAGTGTCTCTGAGAAATGCAGGAGACTGCAGTCTTTGCATATATGATCCTGATGGCTTTCTGGTCTGCGCCTGAATCGCTTTCGGACATCCTTGAAAAATTCTTGCGAAATGGCAGCTTCAACATCTTGCAAAATCCGCACCTCTCGACTTATTTGCTCTTCTGGAGCACATGTTTGCCTAAATGAAAACGGCAAAATCATATAGCTGCAAATAATTCTTGTAGATTTTGGTTTCTACATGAAAAGAAAATTTTACATTAGTAGAACAATTATTGGCCACCATCGTTATCCTTATGTGTTTGTTAGTTTTTTAAGGTTTTCTGACCTTACCTTAATTCGTTGACTCTCTTTGTTTGTCTCCACAACTGCTTCTCTAGTAAATCATATTGGCTTTCATTTGATGATTTATCTTTAAGCTGCTCAAACCTCTGCAGACGCCCATCAGTGACGTCATATTCGTCTTCATCAGCTGGCTCAAATGCATCAGAAACGTCATCTTCGGCATCTGCGACTGACGAAAGATCAGCAACATCAACATCGCCGGCAAATGAAGTCAAGGCATTGCTAAGGGAGGACAGCCATTTGCCGATGTTTGAGTAGAAGTGCATGTCAATACCGCGCATCTTCCAGAAAATACACATCAACCATTTGTCAGCCTGTGGCATTTCTACAATATCAAATACATTTTGTGTCATATCCTAATTTATTTTTTCAGACTAAAGCACTGCCATTTATATATTCAGCTATATAGATGTCAAGAGCTTACATTTTTTGAAAATTTAGTCCTATGTTAAGAATAAATTGATCTTGGCAGTAGTTTTGAAGTATTTTGCTCTCCTACGAATTCAGCGTTTTCGCTAAAGTTTGGTTACTTGGAGCTAAGTTTGACCGCTGCGAAAATGAAAAGTATTGCCACCTGGATCACTCTTTTGCAGGTAAAATAAGTTTCTCGCAATATTTGCCCTTCCAATTGAGATTAGTTGATGACAACAACAACCTAGCCTGTCCTGTTTTGTTTAGAATCATTTTAACAAGAAAAATGTATTTGCAAAGATTCAAAAGTTGATAAATAGATTCCTTTCATTTCAGCACTAATGTTTTAGTAACAATACTATTATGCTGTACCAAAACCTAGAGCTAATGGATAAAGGCAAACACGAGTTTTGTGCTCAGTGTCAAAAACGGATACAAGAACAGGTAACGATCAACGGAAAATTTTCAGTCTTGGAAAATCGTTGGCCTCTGTAAACAATTCTGCATTCTGAATTGATGGGAAATGAAAAACTCTACTGTAAATGAAAGCTGGCCAAATAAATAATCGAGCGCTTTCAGCTTCGACAACCCAGAAAAAGAATTCTGAGCTTCAATTTGACGGGAAAACTGTCTTATCTGCGCATGCTCTATTCACACTTTTCTCATATTGTCTCCTAAATAAAGATTGTTTATTGCTGCTTCGTTTAACACAAATAACATAAAACATATTTTTTTACAAACCTGACTGTATCTCTGTTTCAGTTCTAGAGCACAAAGAATATGTTCCTTCCGGAATCGAACCTACATGAATTTAAACAAAAGTTAGGGTAACACGTGAAATACTGATTGAAACTTCACACAAGTTCCTAAATAAGAAAAATCTCAAGCTTTTTATAGAAACACGCTTCAGACACGCTTCAGAATTGATGCTTCAAGATTCTCCGGATTAAAAAAATGTTCTCCGGATTACAAAAAAGTTCTCCGGATTACAAAAAATTCTCCGGATTACCGCTTCTTAAAAATTTAACTTTCAACATGAAAACAGTGTTACAATGTAGAAACTATTAAGTGTCACAATTTAGAAAGCATAAAAATGTAGAAAGATTGAAACAGGCTGAGCGATGGTATAAAATTTATCAAGAGATAAGAAAGAAATTGTAAATAAATGTTTAAGCTACACTTCGTACAAGTGTTTTCGCCATGTTCTCGTGGAAAAGTCCATTCCTCGGCTTTATTGTCGAAATCACTGGCAAACCTCAAGCAAAAGTTGCGGAACAAGCCTTGACTCACGAATGACCCACTACTGCAGCACATTATCGAAGTCTCCTCCACTGTTACAACTAATGCAGAGCCAGTTAATTCGGTATCTGAAATGCCACAAATTGACGGTACTTAATACACTAGAAGTCATCAAAACAAGATTAAAAACAAACGAAAGCAGCAAGGCGACAAATGAACAAAGCACTTCAGTGAATTCAGAAATTGAAGGCAATTTCATAAATAAAAACTGGCATTCTTTAATCACGAGGCCAAAGAAAAAGAAAAAAGGCTAACTAAATTCGGTTGCAAAAATGGATAACTACGGATACCAAAAACTACTGAAAGCAGAGCATCATTGACTCTTGATTTGAAATGACTTACAATACGAATTTGGTGATTTTGATAACAAACCTGGTGTGTTACCATATGAAGATCGATTGCCCATGGTCTAATGAAGAAAAGCATCATAGAGTGAATATGACACCAAAACAAGCCTATGAGACAGTAACAAAAAACAGCCAGTTTTTTAATAATTGCCAATCACAATCACAGGCGAGTCTAGTTCGTAAACCTTCAATCTGCATTTTGAAAAATGTAGCAAAACAAATCATTTGTCTTTGGTTTCGTTATTCAGTTTTCTATTACTACACTCTCTAAATAATTATCTTGCTGTTTGGCCCTCTTGATTTTCTAAAAGTAGCAGTGGATTTACAATTTTTTTGAAGTACTGCTATAGCCTGGAGGGGGCCAAAGAACGAAAGAAAACACAAGCTTTCCAATTGGAATGTAAAATTTTCTTTAAGGCCCTATAACACGTTTCTTTAGCACGCACTCACAAATGATTCAAGCACTATGTTCTGCTTGTTTTCGTTAGGTAATAATGGAGATATTTAAACCAACCTGGTTAACATGATCATTTAGGGGTATGCTGAAACCAAGTTTCTCTACGTTTAGTTGAAGAAACAACGATCCATACAACTTCTCACGCTGTGGCCTTTGAGGAAGTTTCTCAAAAATATGCTGTGCAGCCTTTTGGACCTTAACAAAAAGAAAAAAGTAGACAAAATTCGAGCATTGAAAACTTGTACATTTCGACCATTGTACGGCAAGAATAAAAAGAATACGCGAATGGCTAACTCTGAACGTAACGCCCCTAACTACACTCAGCTGAAGTGAGACAGCATCTATGGTGAATGTTTTAAACAAGATCTGGCAATAGGCGTCACCTAATGCGATTGAAAGTGGTAAAAGAACTAGAAGGTAAATTTAGAAAAGAAGACGACAATAAAGAAGCGCACCTCAACAGTCTGATCAATCCAGTAATCGTATGCATTTTTGTAATACAGGTAAACAAGAAGACCTACAATAATAATGAATACAGAGAAAAATGGTATATAAAACTGATACTACATTGATTTATTAAATCAAGTCGAAAATGGTGTCAGGTCTTCAAATGACAAAGATACCAAGTTTCAAGTGGGCGTAGGCATGATTCAAACCCGCGGAAAATGTAAGCAATAGTTGTGCAAACCTTTGTCTACAGCCATTGGCATAAGCCATATTTGTGGTTTGTTGATGGTTATGATAACAGTCTCTTTGTCTTGAGAATGGTGGAAAATTGGCTTATCCTTAAAAATAAAACATTTTGCACCCTTATCAAAAAACTAACAAACTATAGACCAAGAGCAGTTGTAACAAAGTAAAATGATACACTCTCTATAAAAGGGTTGAAAAATAATTATAGCAGATTACGTTAATATAAACAGTAAGTAAGGTGTCTCCAATCCCTCAGCAGAGTCAAGATTACGACAGCGTTATAACAAGCAGAATTAGCAAATTAATAATAATGAATAAACATAAAGCTACGAAAGGGCACGGGTTTCACCTGCAATGTGTTTGTTAAACCAATCCTTGTCTTGAAGTAGGCAAAAGTTTCGAAGTCCTTGTCATTTTCAACAAACTTTTCCTTTGAAAAAAATTTTAACAAAGTTATTTTAACGATAAAAGCATAATAGTGTCACTTGAAGGGGATAATTAACATTAGGTAAATTCAGTTACTTGTAAAAGCAGTGCTATTGCCATATAGAATGAATCTTGCAATCAGATTAGGCCAGGCATAACACAGGAAAGGCCTAAACTACTTTCAGACCACAAAACATAAAATTGGGCCACTGACAAATCTTGTAAGTAAAAAACCTGCTTTGCAAAAAAAAGAAAGGAAAACGAACTTACATGGTTGTACTGACCAAGCGATACCATCAGATCAACTTCAGCCCGACCAAACAACTTCATGTAACTACCACCTTTAAAATTCAAAAAGGAAAAGAGAAAATTAAGGGAAGATTTCAGGCAACAAGAGAAGCGTTACGTAAAATTAGCTCCAAGTCTCCTTGCCTGCTGACGGAAGGATTGGCAAAGGTATTAAAACAACATCAAAGCATGGTTGCCCAACATAAACGAAATTCTTTAGAGAATACATCTAGAAAATCTGACATCTTAAATAGAAGGCATGAAGTAGTACCAAAGCAAGATAAAATTATTAAAAATATAATTTCATTGTTATTAGGAGCATAGTTTCAAGTTCTTTGCTCTGCATTTTCCAAACCAATCGGTATATGCGATGGTAGGAAGAAAGAATTTTGCAAAAAACTGCTTTTAATCTAGCATAAAAAAATCCGTTCACAGTTCTCCAATAGAAAACCATTTTTTCACTTGGCTTCTTTGACAAGTAGTATTTTCAGTTTGGGCCGAAATTGGATCTTGATATCATTTGCTTTTGTAAAGAAGTTACTACTTTCTACTTTCAACAATAATAGACAGATGTCCATACTCTGTTATCGCTGCAGGTTACTTTAAAGGTTTGAAAAAGATTGGTAGAATTATCTTAATTCTCTCTTAATCGCAATATTTGTCATGCAAATCTTGAAATCATAGCAAATTGAAATGGAAAATTTGATATTTACGTTTAGGAATCTTGAGTTTCTTCTCTTTGTTCGGAGATCTGTTCGATAATTCTAGCGCCACAATTCCAGTATGAAGTCTTACTGCCGTTGACGAAGGTGTGGTTGCAGTCAGTTGAATTCCCTTCAACAAATGTGATAAATGACATTAGGTGTAGCAAGTTGATCTTTTCCGAATTTTTACTCTGTACTTCTGTCAGAAAGGCTTACCTTTTTGAGTAGCCTTTTTGAGTAGTTTTGAGTATCCAAAAGCGGCATCCTTTTTGAGTAAAAGGAAATGTCATTCTTAATTCGAGTGGAAATTCGTTAAAATGATTGCAAAGCTCCCCATGATTTGAGCTTTTTCCATCTATTAAGAACAATATTTTAGCTAAGCCATTAACCATTAACAGTAAACCATTAACAGCTTAAATACCTTTAAATTTATCTGAATTGAATACAACAGAGGGACGGGGACGGAGCTTTCACCATCTGTAAAACTGTCCTTCGAAAAACTTCTGAAGATAGGAACCGGTTCATTGTCATCAACATCGGAGATAACTTGATTCACTTCCTGCAAGTAAGACAACTAGAAATCAGTACAGTAAAGATATTAGAAATGGCGAAGCCAAAATGTAGAGAGCCCAAATGTTCCAGGGCAATTCATTGCTTAAGGGCGTGGAGCTTGTTAGAAGGAGATGATAGTTACAGCGACAGTGGCGTCTTCTCAAAATACTGCAAACATAGTAACTAACTTAATTTCTTGAAGTCAAACCTGTCTATAGGAAAAGAACACGAAGGCTAAGAAGAGCTAAACTGAAAAAGGCATGTGGAAAAAGAAAGCAGATGATACCTTTATAAAGCCTTTCTGTAGAAATATTAGCTGATTAAGTAAATCTGTCGTTAGGCTTTGCTCAAAGTGACCAATATCAACAACTGCCCTTATAAAAGTGCTAGTCCTTATGGTCTCAAGATTTCTGTGCCACGATCCAACATCTTCATGCTCCTCCCTGCTAGCAGTATTTGCCATATATTCACCCTTCACGGTTACTGGAGGCAAATCAACTGACGTTAAAGGCAATTTACCGAGCATTTCCGGATCTTTTATCTGAAAGATTAAATGTTAACTATGGAGACAAGCATAGAGGAAAATTTCTTCAAAATAAGCATAAACATCTCTTTGTTCTGATTTATAAAATGAATTTCATTTTACTTTCAAAATTATTTATCCACGGTTGCCCCGACAGTCATTTTGATTGATTTTCAGGGGACCGTGCCAAAAACTTCAACAATTAAAAATGTACAGTACTTTTGAAAACAAAAGTAAAATTATAACGATTAAAATTTAATAATAGCGAGTAATCACAATCACGAATATTTTAACAAGCAAAATTCTATCTTGTGCTTAAAAGAAGATACAAAGGGAGCTTGCTTGGCCTCGCGACCAAGCTCGTTTCAAAGTTTCGCTCCATGAAATGCAAACGCTCTCTTCCCATCACTAGTTTTTATGAATGCTACTAGCAAGTTGGCTTCTGCATTTCTCAGGTTGATAATCAGACGCAAGCAGAAAAAGTTATATTCCTAGGAATGACTAGCAATTGGTATATTCGAGTTTAAAAAAAATGATGCTATTTCTCATCAACTCAAGAAGTATAGGAAATACCTTTGATTTGAACTCTAGGCAGTGATTAGGCATTTTTACGCTGTATGTTGCTTTGATACCAACATTTCCGGTGCTTGACACTTCACCAATCTGTCAAAGTATGTTCAAATAACTAAAAAACTGTTGATGATACAGCCAGGAAGCTAGACTATAATGCTGGTAGAGACAGGGAAATAGTTTTATGACAGAAAAGGAAATAGAGGTGCATCAAAACAGCCCTTATTTCGTTTAAAGAGGCATCAACGCAAACAAATTGACATCGCCAAAAAACATTTTTCGTCGTTCTAGTTTTTTATGTTAACAGCAAAGACTATCGCAAAAAGACTCAATGTTGTCTGAAATACAGAAAGGGGGTCTAATTTAGGGGAAGAAAGTTGAAGCAAGCATGGGTACGAGTGCCTGCGAACGCGGGTCGTCTGTAGGCCGGTATCGGAAGATTTAAACGAGCGCGTGATTGTCGTCACGCTCGCTGAAAATTGAAAACAAACCAATTGTGAACGAACATGGCGCAGAAAGGATGAAAGTGGGAAAAATGTTTTCTATTCTGGACAAGCTCTCACCAATGAGGGTTAGCAAGTAGTATAATTCTATCATACACAGGTTTAAATACTATTATATTCATTTTATAACGGGAAAGTTTAGCATCTAATACCTAGTAGGCCTAGAAGAGGTCGGTTAGAAGCGGTGCGAAACTTTATTTTTGACTGATTTAATTCTTTCTTGGTTATATCAACATTTTTCATTTCACTGACGCGAGCAGCCATTACCGCTAGGCAGAAGCTTGCCTTGTACCGAGAAATCCCCATCGACCGAAAGCTTTCACAAATATTTTCGGATTTCATATGATCAATCGATTATTTGTTGACCATCGGACCGTAAAAATACTAGGTTACCAAAAATTCAATCGTACTGGTTTCTCTCGCTTGTTTCTCGCAACATGTATGTGATACAAAGCATATAAAATCATTTTTCGGTAGAACTTTGTCCCCACTTCATATGACCAAAATCTTTTTGCATTGGTTGATTATAAGAACAAAGAGATTTTCATTGTTTCCAGTCCCCCCTTTAATTAATCGCATTGTAAAAAATATGGCGGAGCGCTGGAATTGTGTTAGGCTATTGTTCCAGCTATTGTTCTCGTTAACCAATCCACAACGAGACAGATTGCCTTTAAGTTTTGACAAATAGCGACGCATCTATTGATTAATCGCGACACGAAAAGGACCATTGGTCTTGAAATCCCTTTCATGCACCGTGCTGGGAGGACAAAATGTTCCTTAACTTTTTTCTTGCAAGAGACGTAAGCCCTTCCATCCTCCCCTGTCTTTGGGATCCAACGAGATAAATACAAAATCTGAGCACAAAAACCTGGGACTAACTCTTGACTCTAAATTAAATTTTGAAAGCCATATTCGAGAAGCTAGTTTAAAAGAAAGAAGGGGTATCGGTATGATAAAATACCTTTCCAAATATGTTTCTAGGAATGTGCTCGATCAGATATATAAGCTCTATGTGAGGCCCCACCTAGATTATGGAGACATCATATATCATAGATATGATCCTGAAATGCAATCTGCTTTCACACAAAGACTGGAGCATATTCAATATTCAGCTGCCCTTGCAGTCACTGGAGCATGGAGAGGTACGAGTAGACAAAGACTCTACGAGGAATTAGGTTGGGAAAACTTGTATCAGAGAAGATGGTATCGACGTTTGTGTCATTTTTTCAACGTGAAAAAGTCACAATCCCCTCATTACTTGTTTGCGGAAGTTCCAGATGAACGCGAACTTACCTACAATCTCAGAGCAACACGCGCTTACAACCAAAATTTTGGGCGAACTGTCCGTTTTTCGAATACGTATTTTCAAAATACTCTTATGGAATGGAAACATTCTGTAAGCATTGCTGAATTCAAACGTAAACTTCTTGTAATCATACGACCATTAGGAAACTCTACATATAACATTCATGACATTGACGGTGTTAGATCTTTAACAAAACTTCGATAGAATTTTAGTGCATTAAACGAACATAGATTCCGGCATAACTTTGACTGCCTAAACCCGATTTGTAGTTGTGGAACTGGAAAAGAGGACAATGAACTATCTCCTGCACTGCCCACAGTTTGATTTGATGCGTACAGATCTCTTTGGTCAGCTTTCAGAAATCCCTGCCCTTGACATTAATGATATGGATACAACAGCCTTGTGCGATCTCCTTTTATATGGCAGTTCACGATTGAATATAATTAGCAATAGGATGATCATGGATGCCACTATATCATACATTAAGACTACTCAACGCTTTAAGTGAAACCCCAAACAGCAGTTACCCCCCCCCCCTTTTAGTTTTGTTGTATATATTCTTTGTAAGGGATTGTTTATTGTAAGTGTCCCTCGTAGTGGGAACACGATGACCTTGGGTCTTTTCCCGCTATGAGGGGTACAGTTGAATGTAAATATTAGAGTTGTAGTTGTTTTAAGTTGATAAAAAAAAAAAAATACTTATTTTAACATTCGAATTTTTGTATGGAAATCCTGTTTTTGTTACCCTGTTGTTAGTTGTATGAGAATTACCTTTGATTCAAAATAAGAATTATACTTTATCTACTGACTCTGTCATACATCTCGAATTTTTTTGCTAATGTGAGCTTGTGAATAATAAATCAAAAGTCTACAAAAAGTGTTTACTTTTACATAAGATAGAAAATGACTGCAACATACCCTGTACGTAACCCTCAAGGAAGGCAACAAGGCAGCCCCAACAGCGACGCCTTTGAGACAGCCACGTAAAGACATTGTCACTTCATCTGACAATATTGATTCCTGCAGGCTCATTTGGTCACTGAAAATTCCATCGACTGCTTGCCGTTTAAGCGTCCTTTGGAAGGAAATCGAGCTCATTCATTAATGAAATGCGCAAATGTTGTTTGGTAGTAGACCAGTCTTGTACACTCATTATTTCCTTAGCTGACAATCATTCTGTCCCTAATTTTTTGTAGCAACTGTTGGCGAATAGCCAAAAGCCAAAATTTTCGTAGCAACAGCATAAAATTAACAGTGTTCTTGGGATAAACAATTACAACAATCTTAGAGTAGAAAATGTTATGAAACAAAAAACATAAAAACACAAAACACAGAAACTTACTTTTTCAACTTGCGGTAGTTATCGATTTCTATGAAATGCTTTTCCAATCTTTTCGTGAACCTGGCTCCAACAGTCCGCAGAACCCCGGGATGCTGCGGGACATCGACAAAGATCTCTCCAACGACAACATGCACCCGCTTCACAGCTTTGACACACGATGCCGGCTTCGATGACAGCAAAAAATGTGACCTGTTCATTTTGCATGTTGTTATTGTCCTAGAGTAAAAACGATGAAAATATTGAAATGGCTGCCTAGTTTTAACGCTTTCACATAACATTGGGGACCATGTGATGAGCATCCGACATACCGCATTTAGAGAGTGTTTAAATAAAACAGAAAGAAAGTTATGGGGTTAGAATTAAGCAAAGGTTAAGGGTTAGAATTAAGTTTAAAACTTTCTTGCTTACATTTTTAGCCATTAGTAACTATTATCCGGTTTTTATTATTTTAATAAGCAAAGACTATGGAAAAAGGCAATTTTAATTTGTAATGTATTATCATCGTGAATAAAAAGTTAAATAAGCGACATTATATATTGTCCTTACAGTCTTTTGTTCAATAATTAATAGCCTAAATTTGGCTTTTAAGGGTTATTCATTTAATCTAATACTTACGTGAACGATCTAAGAAGACGAGGCGATCTTGGAGTCGATTTTTGCTTCCTAAATTCAGGCAACAAAATGATCATAGATAATTCTTATTTTTATTTAATTTTTTAATTAAATTTTACAACTTAGTAAGCTTTAAATGAGTATTGGGTAGAAACATGGTGGATAAACAAAACTATGCAATTTTGAAAGCGTACTGTAAAGTTGAGAACATATAGAGAAGGGAATAGAAAGAGCAACAGTTAAGGAGGAAAATGGAAAAGAAACAGTAGAAAAGGAGAAATAAACACACAACAAATACTCACTGGTTGAGTGAGGTGACCGATTCTGTTAACACCAAATTGACGTCATCAACATGAACCGAGACTGAATGCGTTTCTGAAATTTTTACACATGCTACGATGAAGTAAAACTTTGACTTAAAATAGCATAATCTTAAAAAAAGACCATAGAAACATGGCCAATCTCATAACCTAGCACATCTAACAAATTTAGGGGCGATAAATAAATGCTGAAAAACAAATGCTTTAATGGGACTATTGTTCAACTTACTGTCATCCCCTTTCTGTTGCAAATGTTGGCTGACTTTATAGCAAGATGCATTCATATTAGTAACTTCAGTTTCTAAATTCATCCCACCAATATATGCCAGTAACTTCAGATTTGCTAGTCGCACGGTGCCAACTAACGTGGAGAGATTTATCCATGACTGACTTATGGTCGACTTTCTTTTCTCTTCGCCAGAATTTTCAGCCATAAATGAGGTCTCATTAGTTTCAATTCGCGTATCTTTAGATTCTTTTGGTGTGCACGCTGTTCAACGGAAAACAATGCATTTAACAATCGAAAAAAGTACATAAACCAAACAAGATCTCTCGACGATTGTCTGAATTCAACGTTTCAATACCATCTCTAGAATGAATCTAGCATTTTAGTAAGGAACTATTGCATATAGCTCGACCGGGTTACAAGTAGAGAAAAAACTGAATACAATCCAACACTGCACTCAGTTACAGAACAAAATATACTTTCTGAAACTTTCATTTTATACGTACGGTTCGTTTTCCTTCGTTCGTCCACCCTTTCTCGATCTTTAGGAAGTCCCGACTCATTTGCATACAACTGCAACACATTATACATAGTTCTCCACCCTTTGTGAACAGCATGCTGCTTTACGTTTCGTTCACTGGTAGCCCCAGTTGCTAACCCTTCACTTTCCAGTAATTCAAGAGACTTTGTCTTCTGAGCAAATCGATTTTCCTCTTTAACAACGTCAATAGTCTCTGTTATTTGTAGAAGCAGCCTGATCAAAGCGATATTTACAATCTGCGTTATGCTTCCAAAACAAATATCAAATTTAATGTCTTTCGGTACCGGGTCATTTATTTTCCTTGACGTTAAATACACTTTTGGCCGTCCAGCCGTGCATGACGTACTTGCATCTCCAACAAGACGAATTTTTTCCATTAACAAGGCAGTCGTTGTCTTCTCTGACCATCGACAATCCTTGTTCAGTGTTTCATCCTGTGAATCATTCGCCATGTCTTCCGAACAAACAATGTTAACTTCAAACTTCTTTAATCCAGCGTCTCCACAGAGTGTCTCTTCAGTTAGGAAGTTTTCACTCTCAGGCGGAACCAGGCCAATGGCGTCAAACAAACACTTGAATATCTCGGCTACATTTTCGAGCTGCATACCGCTGGTAGGTACACTGACCATGGGTGACGTCATTCGAAAAATCCCGGCATCTTGCATGTTTAAGCCTGGTTTTACTTCTGTAGAAAAGAATTCAAAATGGCATGTATATTAGTAGATGATATGTCCTATGGACGCTTGCTTGTGAGGGTATCTGGTAACCGTTGCAAAGTGCTCGATGCAGTATAGGCAATGCTGTGAACAAGCTGTGAGCACGCGTTATGGTGTAGAACAGGGAGGCAAAGCTGCCATTCCTAGCTTCAAGATAAATGCAATTACCAGGCAACTGGCTGCTTAAAGAATATAAAAAATTTGATTGCCTAAAAACACCAAAGTTAAATCCATTAAAAAACCAACAAAAACTCACCGGCTGGGCTCTCAGTTTTTGCTTCATTAATTTGGCGACTATAAGAACACCGAGCATTAGCTGTTTCAGGCACCACTCTGGGTGAGTTTGTTGACGAAAGCCAATCGTAAAGGTTCAGTTCTGTTTTTGCCTCCTTTTCATCAGAAAATAAGGCTGCACCTGTTGATTCTTCTGACGAAGATTTCCTTAGGAGGTTTCTCGCTGAGCCTGGGGATGACTGCCTGCTGGCAACACGTGACTTCCAGTTCTGATCTCCTTTTTGTAAAAAAGAAAATTATTCTGTCTTGCTTTTAGTTCTTGATTCCAATTTCATTATTCTCGTCTTTCATTTTACACAAAATATATCGATAAGCTTTGAGCTTGCATCAAAGAAGAGCAAAAAACAGCTCCACTAAATAAGCTGTCACATAAAAGAATGGTTTTCGACAGAAAAGCATTACAACCATTATTAGAATCATTGAACAAACCTGACGAAGAAGCAAGTTGATCCTGAGCAATGGCTCCAGATCTCCTAGAGTGCCTGGATTCTGATCGGTTCTTGGGACTGACGTCATCATGAGACGCACCTTTGGCTGTTGATTTGGCACTGGTTAGATCTTCGTTTATTGAAGAGCGATCACGCATCAAAATTGCTAAATCTTTTCTGGTCAAGACACCACGACCCACCACATGCTTACGTCTTTCGGATTTGAAGGCAATTTCTGTTCTGGTTGAGCCAATTATCAACGCTTTCCATTGTCTGGCTAAAGCATGTATTCCTTAAAAGAAGGAGAATATCAACTATCCGAAACTCAAAAGATAAAAAACAAAATACGTTAAAGCCAGTCTTCTGTAGTTGCTCACCTTTTTCTAAAACGTCAACTTTAGGCATTGATATCTTATCTTCGAGTGCTGATTTGACCCGGCGCATCTTCGACCCCATCAAGTGCCTTCGCAGCACAAATACCAATTGGCTCGAGTGGTCTTCTTGAAGAAATCTTGCCCGCTCAGTTGCCATCGAATTGATATTGTGCTGAAATGTACAAGCTAGAAATTAAATGAGCTTTCTCGGATGAAACTGTTCTGGACTCCTAGAATTGTGGTCGTTTTGAATTGAGAATTCATATTGCTTGGCGATCACAAAAATGTAGAGCATCTCACGGTTGTAGGTTAATCTACAGAGAAGCGCTGACCATTTCAAATTAAACACTGTTATTAGAAAACTTGACATCCAAAGAGAATCATAAATATCACACATTCAGATCTTTTACAAAATTGAAATATCCAGGATAAAATAAGGATATGTGCCCTAAAAATGCGAAATAGAGTGTTCGACACCGCTAGGGCTCCAAAGGTAAGACAACTTGTTTACATCCATATGAGACGGAAAAAATTTTGAGCAGAAAACTAAATACCTTTATAAGCAGTCGACCTTTATCTGGCAACGCCTGTCCCATTACGTATGCCAAGAGACTGAATCGATGTGACCGGAAAGCTTTTGCCGTGGAATCAACTGCACGTGCAAGATCAACATAGACAGGTATCCAACAACAAATGGATGGAACAACACTGGTTATCAAATTGATGCAATGGTCGCTACCTTCTTGCAGCACTTTCAACCGTGTTGGGTGTGCTAAATTGAGCCAAACATTTTCGATCTCAATAATGCCTTGTATTTTCCGTTTTAATACATATTCTTCTGCATCATCCCCTTTCTGATTCCAATCATTAGTGGTCCCGCCATCTTGTTTCTCATTTGACCTGCTTTGCAGAAGCGTTCCGCGTTTTGTTCCATCTCGCAGCACTTGCGAAATGCCAGAATCCACGTCACTATTCTGTATTTCGAGAATGACATGGCCCATTGGGGAATCATCCTCCTTCAAAAGACTGCAAGATACCGTTGGACTTTCGCTCTCAAGAATTGAAGGTTCTGCTTTGACAGAATCAAGATTAAAGTCGCTCGTCTGCTGAAGCTCAACAGCTCCGGATAACTTTTGGTTCTTCGGCGGCAGCTCTGTTCCTGAAGTAGTCTGCAATTCAGGAGACATAGCATTTTCTGCGTTTGATTTTCTTGAATTTTTCAAACTATTAGATCGACCAGACCGCGACAAAACAGAAATTCTTTCACCACGTAACATATTCATTTCTATGTTTTTAAAGCCAAATTCAAGCATTATCTTTCCCATGGGCTCACCTAGTTTTTGCTCCAACCAACTTAGATCATCGACATCTACATCATCACCTTTATACACGGAAAACGGTATCATAGTCTTTGACTTGGGAATGGCAGTCACAAATGATGAATCATCTGGGTGTTCCTCACAGTCAAGTCTTTGCAGCTGAACGTCAGCTCTTTGAAGTGAAACTCTAACTACGCTGCTGTCACTCTCTGTTATTTCATGAAGCTCTTGCAATAATTTCTGATCAACATTTGACCTGAAAGTTGAGCTCCGCCGAAGAAGTGTTATTGCTAAGTCACTCAGAGCTTTATGTTCCCCTTCTGCAGCATGACTTACTTTCAGACCTGAAAAGGAAGCTGCCATGGCAACAGTGCAGGTGTATTTTGGGAAGGCGAAGTCATTTGAAAATTTACTTCCACACTGACCGGACAGCGAGGACTGCTCGGACACGCAGAACGGTTCTGCAGAAACCTGCAACGCAACAAAGTTAACCGTAGGGATGTCAAAGGAAAGTGACGACCGCACCTTTGGGAACAGATTTGAGAGCAATACCTTTTTAGATGCTAAGGTATCTGCATCATTTGGCATTTCAAGTACCTCCAGTGCGTGATTTTCTCCATATCGGTTTTCAGATGATCTGATGCTATGCAGATGCAAGGAATCCAAAATATACGCGGGGTGTTGAATCTTCTCCTGTCCTCTTAACGACTGAGTGTACCTGAAAACGGAACCGCAACCAACTGAAAATTGAATGTTCCCTCACTCAAATAATATCTTGCAAATTAACTGCTCGGGCTTCTTAATCCCTGATTCGCAGGCATCTTAATCCCTTATTTTCATCTTCCAATGAACAAAAGAAACACCCAAAAAGATATTCCGTAGAGGAATCCTCAAGTGAATGGTACCTTAACAGAATTTAGTTCTTTTCCATATATTACGCCGATCAAAGGTTTACATAAATAACAAGTATCATCGTGTATATAATCTACTTTTTTCTTCATGAAAAAACAAGCGAAGCAGCATCGAAAAGCAGTTAGTTGCAGATTATTCCACCATTTTCTATATCACATACCTTTAGACAAATTGATCAAAACTTCTCAAACATTTAAATATCAACAAACTAACAATATTGAAGAATCATTTTACAAACCAATAACTGAAGGACTAACCTTTCAATGCATTGCAGGAGGACAGGAGTGACGACAACTTGAATGCCTTTGTGCACTTTGACATTCATTGACGAATGCCACAGGTTTAAGTCACCTGTTGATGAGCTAAAGCAAACAATATTATCAGCTCACTCACGTTTGCAGTACAGTACATCCAAGCAAAGAAGACTCTAAGAATTCAGAATCTGTAGGCTGTATGTGTTTGGTTAATTACCTGGTGTCATTTTGGCTTCAAAGACCAATTACATTAGATATAGAATTTATAGATATACAAGGGAATATATATTAACGGATGTTGTCCTTTGAAATATCTAGTGTCACGAGACTTCCCACTGCCAGGCATTACTGGCCAATTTTGAAATACAAAATACATTTAATCAGAACCTGATGTAAAAACTTTAGGAACCTCTAAAACAAAACCAAAGGACAGTCTAACTCTTGTACTTGGATTTACTGTAATACAAGCGAACGATTCACATTGGGATATTGAAGCCAATGCTTGAATAACTATTCAAACGTTTAGTTCAGAATAGGGGACTTGGCTCAATAGCTCTCAGTAGTTTTTTCCAAGTCTCCTAGGCCTTTTCTTGATATATTTACAATGATAATGTTGTGTATTGAAATTAAGTTTGAATCTTCATGAATTGAATTGAATTGAATTGAAATGAATTGAATTGGCATTCTTATATCGATAGGGATATTACCTTTTGTGGACAAACTGTGAAGACGTGTTACGAAAAACACCATCATTATCATCGACGGCTTCAGACGGCCCATTTGAAGACTGCAAATTCACTGTCTTTTTACTAGCAATAACGAAAGGAAGCCTCCCTTTGGCGCTTTGTTGAAATTTTGGTAGGATGCTTGAGGTAGAAGCTCGGACAGGAAAATAAATGGCCTAGATAAAAAAGGAACAATCATCAATAAGTCATACCTGTCAAAGTAAAAATTGGCTGGTACTAAATTGATTCATCATAGACAAGACATGACTCTCGCAAAAATATAAACAATAGACCACATTTCTCTGAAAAGAAACATAGTCAGACTCTAAATGAAATTGACCCCCTTAAAAAAATTTCCCAACTTCTTACCTTGATGTTGGTAAGCAAGCTACATCTCCTGCTCAGTTCTTCAGGGGGTACACACTTCCAGTTTGTACAAGTTGCTCTTTTGAGGTGTTGACCGTATAACCCAGCTAACGCCGGAAGTATCAAAGGTTTGCTGCATGTTGGAGCAGCATCAGTTACATCGAGAGAGACCAAGTCCTCGCGTGACGCAACGGCAGATATAAACGATTCGATAGACGAATTAAAAGAAGCATCAGATCCTCTCATTTTTACACGTTGCCTTCGTATGGCATCTTCTTCATCGTTTCCATTACTATAATGAACAATGTTAAAACGGTGATCAACACATATTAACGTAATTACACGGCAAACTAGTATGTTATTGGATAAACTGAATGCTGTGCTGTTAGCCAAAGGGAGATCTTTTATCATGTTCATACTTGTAGCGGATCTCAGCCTTCCTAATGATTGCATTGGTTTGGTAGATAGTGTCTTCTAAAGCCAGGTTAAAAAAGATATGACCAATAGGTTTTTAAGCATATTTCATTGACATTATATTTCATTGTCATTCGACTTATTCAACAGATTAAAAAAAGTTTTCTTTTTCTGGTTGCTGAGAGAAATCAGTGGAAATATTTTAATCTTGAATCATATTGTGGAAGGTAAGCAGTTAGCTAAACGCACATGATCGACGCGATCTCGCTTTCGCAAGAGTAGAATGTTCCTTCACTTTCAGTTCTGTGACGGCTGCGCCAGCCCATACTGCCACCTACATCGGTAGACCTCGATCTATCATTGGGTAGCCTCGAAGCCATACTTTCTCTGTGATATTCAGACTGTCTTGTTGAGCCGCTCATTGACGACCATACACCAATGCTATCGAAATCTGCAAACGAGATTACAGAAATTTATACATTTGCAAATATTGGTCGGTAATGTTTTAATATACATTCAATGAACGGAGAAACACAATGTCAATAGACTTTCCAAAAACGAAGACAGAACTTGAAAACAATGTTGAAAATATGATGAATATATCTTTTATTCCTTACTTTTCCCTCCACCCCTGCGATTCGCCAATTCCGAAATTTTCCTTAACCTCAAGGAACTTTCTCCAAGGCTCTGCAAAGAAAGCCCACCACTTCTATGGCGCAGCCTCTCTTCGATGCCTTGCCTATCATTTACACCTCCCCAAATACTCTCACTTCCATAACGTGAAAAATGCATCTCCCCGGCATCAAGAACTTGCACCGTGAAGAAACGAACTCCATTGACATTATTACCAAAGAAACGGCATCCTCCTACGCAACCACAAATTATTGACCTTGAGCGGTCAGCAGCTATCTTACTTTTCAGCTTTTTAGGTGTCCATAGGAACCACAATCTTTTTAGCAACCCGTCGTGCTTTCTAAGAAATTGTTGTTGTTCATTAAACATAGTTACATCGTTTGCATATGTTACACTGTCGGCTGTGATTGGTCCAAATGTAGCAACAGCGACCTCTAGCCAGTTGTTTGAGAGCGGATAAAAGGACTGCGATCGGCTCGAGCCATCCATTTGGTCAACCTCCTCAGGTGGTGAAAGGTCTTGAACGAACTGTTTTATTGTCAAGTCATTAACAAAAATGCTTCCTCCACTTGAAAGCTGGCTTGTATGTGAAGAACATTTAGATATCCTTATTGGCGAGGCCTGTCGAGTCATAAAAAAGTGTCACAAAATGTAGTAAGAAACCCCAAAGAAAAAAAACTAAAACAACATTTTCACGTTTAACTCCATAGCTCCAAGTATATTCAAAAGGCCTGAGACAGTTTACGCAAAATGTATCAAAACATTTAATGAAAAAAACTGTCTGTTGTTTTAATGAAAAAAACTAAACAAAGATAAGTTTGTTGCCAAAGATGGAAGCCATCCTGCGTGCTGAATAGATTACAAAAACTTGCGAGTGTATAGAAAGTGTATAGCTAGTGTATAGAAAAATCTATAGTAAATCGATCAAAAAGATCCATAGGGTGAACAAACAAACCTTCATGTTGCAGGCGCATTGACTTTCGACCAACCATAAATTAACCGACTCTATTGAAAATCTACTCATTTTGTATTTGAGATCAGCTTCCGTTGGGCACAAGACCGGTTTTACAGCATCTTCTACTTTGCACTTCGTTGATGGCATTTCAAACAGTTTGCATTGTCTCTGGTATGAGCCGTGTTGACACTTGACATCCTGAATGGTTGCAACCAGAGCGTTCTCTTCATCTGTCACATGCAAAATAAACACCTCCAACCACATCGCTAGCGATTGAAGCTAGGGTAAAGAGAAATCAAAATAATAAATAGCGCCAGGTTTTCGTTGAAGGAAGCTAAAGCTGCTAGTGTATCCTTCTTCATCGCACTTTTAGGTTCTGATTCACCTGTCAAAGATTGAACGCAAAATGATATTACTTTCGCATAAAGTACATGTGTAAACAGTATCATTGTTTGCACTTTTGCTGGAAGGATTTGACTGTAAGCTTTTCATTCTGATGAAAGTTCACATTACTTACTTGCAGAAGGGTGAGTTTGCCACCGACTTCCCCGCACTGAAGCTCCAACTGCCATGCATATTCGATTGTGTCGTATCCACGTGGAATTTCTTTATCTGAGAAGAAAGCATCGCCACGAAACTGCAGACCAGATAAAGATAAAAATCCCCGCGACAAATGGCTGTTTTCGGAAGAACGCTGAAAAAGGATTGTTAACTCGTCATCATCGAACATAGAAATAAGAAACACATCGCACAAATTTGCCGTAAGTTAATTGATTTTCTAAGAGTAGGACAGATAAAAGCATTTAATATTTTAGATGAAGGCTAAGAATTCAACAGTCGGAAATCGAAGAAAGTTACAAAACAGAAGCAAAAGGATCGCATTGGAAGTTCTATCTCTTGTTACGCCGGGAAACACAAGGAAACGCAATCAGTAGATAAAATTGATGAAAATCCTGCGCTTAAAAAACATTTTCTAAATCTAAATTTCTACATTTGTAAACTACGGTGACGAAAGACAAAAACTCTCATAGCTAGTTGCACAGTGGTACCATTATGGCGTCAAGATATTTACCTTAAGTCTATCTTTGACTGTAATGGTAGCAGGCGATATTATCAGCTGCATCATGGTCTCCCTGTACGTTTTATTCATTTCGAAGGTTAGCCTTTCAACGCTCATGACTGGAGACGGGGGTTCACCTGGAGAACAGTGCTACAGGAAGCAAGACACGTTTATGATTAAAAACAAAAGGAATTTTCTGCTGACTAATAAATGACTAAATAAATAAAGATATAGAAGTGAAAGCAGCAGGACAAGCTTGGGTCGTTTATGTCATGGATTTATGTCATACTTTAGTCAATTCTGCCTTGATATCCAAAAGCACCACCGTCACATGGGCATGCATTGGTCTGTAGTGTCTAGCATCTTTCAGATCTGTGGCTTCCACATCAGGCAGGATATCCTTTATCGGATTCTTACTGTCTCTTACGGCATCAAATTCTGTTGGCTGTTGGGACACACCGAAGTAATTCTCCTGTGCAGGGATGAAAAAGATCTTAAATGCAATGCAACGATTTAAAAGCAAATTTCGCTAACATTTGTTGCTTACAGCAACGAAAATATGTCGGAGACCTACTGGTATGCATTCGGGCTTAGCTAACAAGTTAATTTTTTATATAAAAGAGCCTAAAGACTGCGAATAATGCTTGGATATTGAGCAAAGATTACTAACAATTACAGAAAAGAACTTCTGTATGCAATGCTACCTCAGTGTGGGATAAGGGGCTATCTCACATTGTTTTTCGGTACGTGTGACTATTTGGCTATAAAATACTTCTTAGAATACTTTTTTTCTTCAGACTGACAAGACGCAAGAGAAGACTGAACAGCACAAAAAAGGAAAACAGTTGGCATTTTAAAGGGACAACAAGAATACATTAAGAAAACTTAAAGAAAAGCAAGCAAAACTCGTCGAAACGCGTAGCCTTAGAAACCATCATAAAGAGTCTTTACTAAACGAGTTGGCAGCCATTGACTGGAAAGAGGTTATCGCTCTGACCAACGGTGACACGAGTCTCATGGCGTCCGTTTTCAAACGTGTCATAACGTCTCTTCTAGAGGTGTATGCACCACTTAAACGTGGATAGGTAGCAAGTAATCCTGCTCCTTGGATTACAGAGGTCCGTGAAAGATAAAGATAGTATGAATGCCAGCAAAAGCAAATACATGGCTAAAGGCCACAGGTGACAGCTTATCAAGACAGGCGATGACTTGCCAGATCTTGTCCTCAATAATGAAGTAATCAAAAGGGTCGACAAGACAAAATATTCAGAAATTACCATCATCCAAAGCCTTCAATGGAAAGAGAAGTATAAAACAATCAAAATTAAACTGAAAAGGGGCTTAAGCTCCTCGAGGAAACTGAAAAATGTCCTTTCGCAAAGGAAACTTGGCCAGGTCTACAAAGCTCTCTTTGAAAGCCATCTTCGCTTGCAAACAAGGGCAAAGAAGCTTATAAAGAATGTGGAGTACAAGGACGGGTGGATTTGTTATTGGCTCACAGTTAAGGCTTTGCTTTACTTCGACCAAAGAGACATAACATACAAAACTTGCATGACCTCTGTCCCGACAATCTTCGTTATAGGTTCACTGAAGGATCCTAGATTTTATAGTATAGGATAAGGAATTGTAGACATTTGAAAATCTCCTAAAGTACGGTTAGAATATGCAAAACGAAGTTTCTACTTCTCTGGTGTAAAAAACTAGAGCATTATCCCTGATAGCATTCGAGAGAAAGAATAAATTGCTCGTTTCAAAACGAGGTTAAAAGAATATCTTTTGAACCTTTAAACGTACAAAACCCAAACAAGACCCCTTGGCACAGCAGCAATTTTAACACGTATTGTTAATAAGTTATCTATTTGATAAATGGCTTTTTTAAGCAGAGAGATTATATTGATAAATAATAATAATGAACATAAAATGGAAGGAGCAAGAAAAAGTTAAAAATAATAACAGGGACTGCAAGGAAAGCTTTTAGCAAAAAGAAAAAACTGTTGACAATATGTTTGCACTTAGGGGAAAAGATTGAGGACTTCTTTGTGATGAGGGCTTTGTGATAATATGGTCTCGAGACAAGACCCCGAAGAAATATTGTAATTTACATGCTACAGCTTTGTAATTTACATGCTACAGGTTTTGGAGACAAATTTATAGATTAGATGAACTGATCGGGAGAAAAGAGCGGGCAATGAGGAGTCTATGAGCGAAAAGGCACAAAGTAAGGCTTTTTGGAAAATGAAGAATAAAGATAAATGTGTGGTTATGAGAAAAGTGTGTTTCAAAATTCCCCCCGTGAAACAGACTGGGACTTCTAACGACAACAGAGTGCCACATGGAAACTAAAATTGGAACAATTCAACAAGAGGACAATTTTCTTAGTTATGAGGTTTAAAACAATAGTATCTTTTAGAAATAAACCACAAACGCTTTGCAGTCAAAAAGAAATACCTTGAATCCAAAAATAAACTGTCTGAATAGCGACCCTAGCAATTTAATTGCAAGTGGTCCAGCCTCAAGTTCAACTGTGAGCAAGTCTGGCTCCAGGCCTGCAACCTCTTTTTCACTGTAATCGATGCCAAGCCTCCTATTAATTTCGTCAATGTGGTCATTTGTAACATGAATCGGATGAAACTTGTAAAATATATTGAGAACCAAAACGGGGGCAGAACAGACATCTAGCCAACCTAGTTCGGCCTCTGTTTTTCTTCGCCAGCCTTTGCAGAGCAAGTCATCAAGATTTGTTGAAGATTTGGCATCCTGAGCGCCTCTAGTATCCGGTCGGTCAGTCTGGTCATCTGTATCTGATATGATGCTGTTTATACGTGAAAGATTAGAAGAATCGTAGTGGTCACTGCTGCGAATGAGCGATAGGACGCTGTGGCGCAGCGTGTTTGATTCAGCCATGAACATTCGTAGCACTAAGGACTCCGCGCGGCAAAAAAATTTGATTTCCTCAACTTCAGGTAAAAACTTGGTAAATGGCAACAGGAATGAGATTTCGATAGCTTCTCCGCAGAAGGCAAGCTGATCTACAATAAAAATAATTATTTCGTCTCAATATGAATGCTTTTAACACGAACAAAGAAAATATATATGAACATACATCAAATTCACTTTCATTTCTCTATCAACTAAACATTTGAAATTTTCTCCCGTAACATACAACTCAACTCCATTGCAAATGATGCCACTGAACCAACAATATGTCACTTACTGTTTTCAATGTCATTGTTGCAATCAATCCAATTGTGCTCATTGACAAAACAGATCAATTCATAATTGCGAAAGTGGAACTTGAATTCCCATTCGTAAGGCGTAAAGAAGGCCACGTCTCCTGGGGTTGTGCTTGCCCAGTCGTTGAGAAGGTCTGCCAGCAAAATGAAATGGAAATGAAACATCCGCCTTAACAACACGCAAAAATATGGAAAGGAAGAACCAAATTGAAAAGTTATACAACAAAGTATAGCTTCATGTAGCAAGTTGTTCGACTGTACAGTGTTACAAAGCTCCATTGGTTCCAGCACAGTAAAATATGTTAGCTTACAAAAATGTCCGAAGTAGAAGGACAGACTGCACTGGTATAAGACGAACCTTGGATGAAGAGAGTGTGCTGATATACAAAGTACATTGTTGTTTCACTTAGCATAAACTCGCAAGACCAATGCTGGAACTGATTCCATACTCTCGGCACTGTCATTATCACTTCAGCCTGAAATTAGATAAATAGTTCAAGATATACACAATACTTGAAACAAAAATTGAAAATAAACTGGGTAACAAATGCATAGATGAACACGAAGCAGATAACACCCGTATCGATTTTTTCAATAAAGCCTAGGCAACAACAAAACGTGCAGTATCTTAAAATTCGTGATAGCTTAGATGAGAAATCAATTCAATACCCGCAGAAACCACAAAATTTTGAAAAAAGGTTAGAAGCGAAAACCCTAAAAAAATTTTAAACAGTTCAATAAGATGCATTGATGTTTAGTAAAAGCCAACAGTAATCAATAAAATAACAAGGTACTAGCCTCCATTGTCTCACATTCCAGCAACTTTCTAAAGTCCAAACTGGTCGTTAAATCGAGTTTCTGGAGTTGAAGAAAAAGCGTAGAGGTGTAACCAAACTCATTGACAGCCCATGGCATGAAGAAATGGATGGATGAGCCTTGTCCTGCACTCACATGCAATGCTGATAGTTCCTAGGGAAGAAGATTAATGAGGCGCCGATCAAACAAAGATGAAACAAGCAACTGGACACAGCACAAGTACAAATTAAGGGATGCCACCAGATATTGAGAAATCCTCCCATAAATGCAAAAGAAGAAAATGTGAAGAAAAATCCTTTTCGCAATTCTTATTTTGCAACGATGGTTAATGCTTGTCCCTCTAATAAGGAGTGCTAAAACACCAGTACACGTCAACTGCAGAACTAAGAGATAAGAACTGCAACAAGTGCTGACTTTGGGGTAACCAAGGCCTTCGTCTATTGTAAGATAGCAAATTCTTACATCATTCTTTGAAAACAGAATATCCATGGCAACAGGAGCTTGGAACTTTGATTTGAAGTCAAACCCAGTGTGAATGCGTCTTTCACCAGGCAGGACTGGCCTAGCTGCCTGAATTTCTTGGTAATCTTGAGGTAGAAACATTTTCTGCAACATCTCACTGCAAAATTTATATTCTTTATGTGAGTAATCCAAGATACAAAGAAATATTTCAAAGATCTGAACTAGCACCGAAAGACAATATTAAATTAGGATACGACTGATCGCTGAATAATCATTTGATTCACTGATAGAATGTTCTCAAAATTAAAAGTTTGTTATTGATTTGTAGCTAATGAAGCCCAATTGCTATACTTTAGAGGAACTTTACCGCTGCTTATCTGCCCAAGGGCCATAGGTGATTGTAGTAGATTTATTGAATATGAGACTGAGACTCCATACAGGATCTGATTCAGGTGCCCTTTGACAGTCTTCAGGGATAATTCCTACAAAGAAAATACAGAGATTCAAAACCTGAATGGCTATAAAGTTATGCTTTGTAGACTTACCAATAAATCTAACAAAAAAAGATGAGTAGAAAATGAAAACAACCGACCTGGGACATCTTGAAAGTAAGTATAATCGATTTCGCCAGATTGCAAAATGACGAAACCCTCTCCCATGAATCGCGGGGGCCTGTCGAGCAAAATTTTGATGGTAAAATTTAAAATCACAATGAAAAACTAAGAACTGATAATAAAAATAAGAAAATGAAAAGTGAGATCTGACAGTAAGGATTTACAAAGCAAGGATTTACAATTCATGATTGAACAGAGCAATGACAATTAAAGGTACAGTAGATATTGATAAAGTACAGAGTAGATAAAGATATTGAACAAGATTCATTATGAATATAGTAATTTGAAAATGATTTGAATACAGAGAGGCTTACTGAGATTTTTTTCCTGTGAATCCGGGACTCGGAGATAACATAACTCTGACATCCTCACACTTCCCTTTGACAACATGAGTGAATTCGTCGACAGCTGAAGCAGCCTGTTAAAACAGTTCAAATTAATACTAAAGTATTCCGAGAAAGCAATCAATGAGTTGAAAAAGGCATATCAGAATCGCAGGCAGCACAGAGGGGTGTCGGGGTACTCTGGTACATTTGAGATAAGGGTGCTTGGGGTACTTTCTCGGTTTAGAGTTTGGGTCATACCTTGATTATTTATAGATGCAATAAGCCCCACATATCACCCTCACTTATATTAATGATGTTAAAAACGACCTATTTATTCAGACGTTCGTTAAAATATGGACAGAAAAAAAGTTCTAAAGATTTTTTTTTGGTTCTGCTCAGGGACAATTTTCCAGGTCATAACATTGGTTTATAGAAAGTGCCCTTTATTCATTTTCTGCAAAACCCTTTTTGAAAGAGTTTTTTAATTAAATTTGGATTAAATGATGACCAAAAGTGAAATGTTTTATTAGGGATATGGTCGTGATCCGCTAAAAAGTGAAAAATTTCACTCGGAAAGATTTTCTGCGAAATCTTAAACCCTCAAATCAGCATAAAAAATTGATAAGCAAAAAAATGTATATCAATAATTGTATTAGGTTCAAAAGTATGCTGGAAAAGCTTTATCACAGCTCTCAGATAAAAAAAGCGTACAGCGAGGTTGGAGTAACTTTCAAAGCGAGATTATACATTAAATGGTTTATTGAAAGTTACGAAAAAGAAATGTTTTGGGTTAAAAAGTTTCTTACATAAACTAAGCATGTCATCTCTTGATATTCTTTTTTAGTTGCCTTTTTGAGAATTGCGTAACATTGTCGCTTCTGTTTCGTTATTAAATCAAATATTTCGTACCTTAAAATGGTGCCAGCTGATGCCAAATTCTTTTAGGCAATTTCTACATAAAAACGATGCACACACAGGGAGTCTCCTAGGCTATTTTCCCTCTACTTTTGAGCGACGTAAGCTTTCAGCGCTAATTACGTAAGCTTTCTACCATGCTCACGATATTCGAAGAAGAACCCGCATTACATAAAATTCTACCGATCCATTACACCGTTCATATACCAAATTACGCTGACCAAACTTACTGAGGATGTATGATAAATGGCCTCTGCATTGTTGCAGTGAATCCAAAAAGTGGTTTCCACAAGTTTGTTACCAAGAGCAATCTTACCCTAGAAAAATTGCAGATGAAAATTATTCAAAAGCTATGGTATTTGAAACAAAGGGAGGCATATGCACGTGCATACACATTATTTTTAGCCAAATATAAACAAACTATGCACTGCAGAAACAACAAAAGAGCAACAGGGTGCCAACCAAAAATTTATTAATTTGGCAACTAGCTTCAGCTACACCCTCCCCAAAACCAAGATTATGACCACTTCCGCAAAGACCACTTAATGATGAATAAGCTGAAAATAAATTTCTAAATGTAAATGTAAATAAAACTGCGGCGAGCAAAGAACAGTCCTTCTTAAAAAGACATCGTACCGAGTTTACGTTGCATTTGATAGTTGGAATTAGATCCATCCACTGGGATGCGCTCTTTCCGGTTGATGTTTGCTCACTGTGTGCAGAAAAGAAATTCCCAATAACAATACAGCATCAATATTCACATGATATAGTATGTATGCCAGAAGAAAGAGACGCCGAATAAGCCATCTACTAGATTCTATCAATTTTGCATGAGTAAAAAGTATATATATATATTTGGAGACATTTGGCCTATTTGAATTTGAAACACTAACACTTACAAAAAAGAAACTGACATGAAGCAACACGATACAATTTACAATTTAGGGTTTTGCAATTTAGGGTTTTGCAATTTAGGGTTTTGCAATTTAGGGTTTTGCAATTTAGGGTTTTGCAATTTAGGGTTTTGCAATTTAGGGTTTTGCAATTTAGGGTTTTTATGATTGTGTTGATATCCTCTTTGTTGATAGATTTATCCTTGTAAGTTAGTTATCATCAACGTTAGCAAATAAATTAGCTAGACGAGAAGCCAACCTAAATAAAGCAATCATTATATCAATATTTTATTATACACACCATGAACTGTCTGCTACGGCCTCTGCATCAACGCCAGCAGTAGATTTCCTTGCGTCACCATACCTTTCATTCTTAAATACTTCATGGAGTCGGTCGTACAGACTTGATCTGGGGCGAAGGAAACAAAATTCCAAAGTGTATTTGTAGAGCTACCTATCTCACCATAATAAGCTACCATCATCAAAGTCAAGTGTTTGCAAGCGTTGCTAAAACATGCTCTCCTGCAATGGCGTAGTTGCAATGAGTGAAGAAAAATATTGGGTTGAATATACCAAATAGGTTTTTATTGAAGATAAAGAATACCTGTTGTAAAGATGCGCTTCCAACCCATTAAGATTAACGACCAGTCTGCTCATTGGATGTTTCTCGTCTAAAGAGAAAAAAACCACGTTGAATGTTAAAAAAATCCTAACAATACAAAGGCTAGTTAAACACATCCTCTATTTCTGCGATAATTCTTTAGCAAGGAATGCTTTACCCATAAGATTAATCAGTAAGAATTTTACCACATATACAACTTATTCACAGTTGTTACTGTACATAAATAAACAAAGAAAAAACACCGAAATGGGGTGTATGTAATATAGCTTTTGCTTTCTGTTTGCAATCATCGTAACTTGTGAACGTGCCTGTAGTTGACAAGTAGTTTATCTATTTGCGCACCGTACTATCAGCTACAAGTAGCCAACGATTCACCAAATGATTTATAAACGAAATGATGGAAATTCAACACTACAAGGATAGTTGTTGTGATGATAATAAAGGGAAATATAAAGTAATCACGGTAACTGGCCATGAAATTCAATAACCATCATATATTAATGATGATGTCCTATAACCGACCAAAGATAAAAGAAAGTGTAAAAATTAGGTTAATGCGATCACCTACCAGAATTTATCGAACAAACAAGTGCAATACTTATGCGCTAGTTCCAAAAGGTTTTAGCCCAAAAGCTTCTCCAATATTCTTTTGAAAGACTAACAAAGCAGTTAGAATTAAGGAACATTTACTTCAATATACCAAGATGTAGAAATTTAATGTACGGGAAACATTCAATAATGGCACTTTGGGGCTGAGATATGGTCCAAACTGGGGCAGACTCGAGGAACAGTAAATCGAAGGATAAAGCATTATATAATTTGCACTATAAGCTTTTGACTAATAATACAGCTATAATATTAAAAAGAGTAATACCACTAGGATGCTTTCTAAACCATGATAGCTGCCAATTTCCTTTGGTGTAAAACGTAGCCACCATCCAAAAATGGCAAACCCATCAACCACCCTGCCAGAAGAAAATAAAATAAGAAAAATTAAATAGTCTGAAAAAGTCTGGTTGTCATATGGTGAATCGTTTACCGGCGATGACGCAGACGATGTTCTGGTTTGATCGCCGACGATGACAGTCATCATGTAACTTCGTAGTAGCCATTTGGAACAAGCAAAGCAGATTAGCGCGAAATCTGCAAATGAACTTTCAGATATCACCGCAGACAGTCGCCGATGGGTTGTTTTCATAAACTTTTTTATTGCAGACAGTCTGTCAGGATCAGGAAAATCGAATTCTGTTTATTCCTTGAGAGCTATCGCCTAATTTGTCTCCGACGACCGCAGACAGTGTTCTGCGATGATCGCCGATGTATTACACCTGTCAGATGATTTTCTAGAACAGGTGGGCAATTAATTTAACAAGGGGCCATATGATAAACCTGAACTGTGTTGGAGGGCTGAACATAACTTTATTCCGCATGATGCTCATTTTCTCCCAATGAAAAAAGGAATAAATTATACTATATTTGCTACTGATAATCAGAAATATATAGATAAAACATAAACATGTTTATAAACATATGAAATTGCGATGAAGGTCAAGTTGATAAATACTCCTACAAAAGTTCATGGTCTGATTGACTACACACTCGTGTCACCTGGACAGAAACGTCCAAAGAGCCAGAAGTGGCCTGCGGGCCGTAAGATGCCCAGGTCTGTTCTAGATCAGGGATGGCGCTATGTGGTGTCATGGGGGGGGGGGGGGGGGGGGGGGGGGGGGGGGGGGGGGGGGCAGCTGCCTTCCAAAAAGTTCGCAATGACACCCCGTCGGCAGCCCAATATAGGAAAAGAAAAAAAGCTGTCGGCACTTTGAAACTGTCAAGTGAGGAATTTACTTTTGTTATAAGAACCATTAAATTGAAGTTCAGGCGGGCTTTTGGACTTTCAGTAAAACGATTAAAACCATTAGAGCTATGAGGCTGGATTGTTTAGATCATAAGGGTGTAAGCAGTGCAATTGCTAAATATTGTGCTTAAAGGGAGTGCTCAGGCACAAATTGCGAACAAAGTTTGAAAAATTCAGTGTCAACTTGACCAATTTTAATCAATTAAAAATAACAAATTTGGAGGCTCTTGTTTTTATAAAATGTCCTTTTGAGCAAAGTTTCTATCAAAATCTGTTGCCCAGCTCCGTGGTTTATTAGGAATCTGAGAAGCATCAAATAACCAGGGCCGCAAAGAGGGAAGCAAGGGGGCAAACGGGAAAAATTCCCTAGGGCTTCAAGGCTCTATGGGGCCTTTTAAAGTAATGAATTCAATTTTTAAGAATGTAATTATTCAAGCATAAACAAAATTATTCAAACATAGAAAAATTAAAACTTTTCGTAGCATAAAAATAAAATTAGGAAGAGTGAAATATTTCAAACAATTGGAAAAAGATGGCTCCAAGAAATTTTCTGGAATGTATTTACAGCTAAACTAAAGGGTGTGGTCGCAAAATTTTCTGGGAAACCTTTTTTGATGTCTTGCCCCACGGCTTGTGATAACTATTAAATGCGTAGCCTTTTTTACTGTCAACAAGATGTTTCCATTATGTTCTGTCAAAGCGGGCAAGATTCTTGACTTTTACGTTGTCTTCGATCTTCTCAAAAAAGAAGGCATACACGATTTGATTGACGGATCAATACATTTTTTTCATTCATTTTCAAAATATTTTAAGATTTGAAGATACTGTAAAGGGGAGTTCATGAAATATGTCGGCAACCATTTTTATAGTCATCGGCATTTTAATTTTTCCAACATTGTCGGCATATCGTGGTTTAGCTTCTAGCGCCACCCCTGTTTTAGAGTCAATCCTGCTAGATAATTGTTACAATGGTGCACTTTTGGTGCTAAATTACGAGGAAATTTGAGCAAAATCAAATAAGCATTGGCAATAATCTCATTACCTCACACTGTAATCTTTTGTAATGTACTTTACATCACGGAACATAAATTTTCCACTCAACAATGATACTGAGAATGACCCTGTAAATAAAAATATCACTATAAAACATGAAATAACAATAAATGTATAGCATCTTGTGATTAAACATGCAATTTTATTTTACATACAATAGCTGTTTATTTCAAGACCTAGTAAAAGCAAAGTTAATTTAGCAGTGAAACTGATAATAAAAAGGTACATGCCTACTTGAAAATAAGAATCATCCTGGATGACAAATCTGTTAATTATTTTTGTTAGTATTATCCCAAAAAGTCTTGTATTAAAGAAGGTGATGTACAACAGCCAGACACTTGCACACAGCGACGCAAATAGAACAGCAACAAGTGCTGGATTATTGGCCAGGTCAAGTGGATTTTTAGATTCAGATGATGTAGCATTATTCTTTGCTGTTTGGTTCACTGCATTTTGACCAAGAATGGCAATGCCAGTGTTGAGCAGGATGATAAAAACCAGCCAACCATGCATTGTGTGGTTGTGTATCCTGTATAAAAAAGAACAAAATGACAGCAAGTGAATCGTGACAAACAAAACAAATATCAATAGTGTAAGCGATAATTTGGTGTCATGAGATATTATTTCTGGTGAGAAGTTAATAAAATTATAATGTAATCAATATTTTTTCAAGTATACTGTAATAATCTGAAAGAGCGCCTGATCTAAATGAGTGCCCGCTCGAATAAGCGCCCTTCAGATTGCCAAAAAATTCAATGAGCACCTGGCTTAAACGAGCACCTCCTCTAACCAGAAGAGAGATCCTCATTTGAAAAATCGTAAGCTCTGTAGAGGGGCTCATTCAGATAGTTTGTAGGAATGGACGGAAAGAAAAGACAAATGTTAAGTTTTTTCGGTTTTGCTATATTTCATTATATTGCCAACTAAATCAAAACAAAGAGGGATAACCCTTGAAAAAAACAACATGGAAAACAGCCTAGAATGTCAAGCGACCCATTCTCAGAAAGGATAAAGAATGAAGAGCTACATGCTTAAATTCAAGTTAGAGACAGTGTACCACGTCAAGCTAGATCATAATCGTTGAAGGACCACAAGATGATTAGATGGAATGAAGAAGACAATGAAGACTGCTTAAATTCCATTACAATACCTACAGGCATCAGGTACATCACCTTTAAGACAGGCTAAAGCACAAAATTATTCATTTTTTCAAAAACAAGGCTTGATTTTTCGAAAATTATCTGCTTAGATCCAGATGTGAGGCTATAAGTTTTGTTCCATCTGCCAAGTGTTTTCTCGGCTACCACAGGTCTATCATTGCATTACAGACACTGTGTGGAATTCTGTGAATTACGGATGAAAAGGTCACGCAAGTATTCTAGAGTCAACTCATGCAAGGATTAAAAAACCATTGATATAGTTTCACAACCTATTAATCAAGCAGTGGTTTTCCATCCAAGCTCTTGGATAATAAGTTGCCTGCAAGGGCATCAAAACTGCTGTTTGTTATAATCATAGCAGCTCAATATTTGAGTTTGGTACCTGGTTAATTTCCACTGAGCCAAACAGCCCCAAACAGAGTGGCAACATCAGAAAATGGACTCCACCTGTGTAAATGGCCTCAAAGATTTCCTTTGGTAGGAAAGAGTTTCAAAAACTGGATAGCTATGGAGACGTCAATGAAATCAGCCCTATTATTCTCTTTCCTGTCAAGAGAGCTGTCAATCTGTACACCAAGTTACTTTGAATTACTGACTTTATCAATATCATTGTTATAAATTTTAATAGGCAAATTGTCATTTTGACCTTGGAGAATTTTATGTTTTTGTTTAGTAGTAGGAGCATGGAATGAGTTTTGCAACATTAAAGGAAAGTTTGTTGCTTTACATCCTAGTGTCCAAATTTTATAAGGTCACCTTTTATACACTCATTTTTTTCATATTTAAGAAACAGGTTATCAGAAATGGTAGGCTCAATTTTTCAAAAGTTGAGAAACAACCCTACCAAATTTGAAAAAAGCTGAAAAACTTTTATAATTTTCAGTTTTAATTTTCCGAGTTTTTTCGAATTTTTTGAAACAGTCTCGACATTGAGCATCACTTGAAATGCAGTTTGCATTCATTCTCAGCAATTGCACACTCAAGAAGTTTACATTTAAAAATTTGTTTTGACTTCAACTTGACATTGATGAAGTTCAATGAGCTTAACTGTTTACAGATCTAAACAGAGTTAGCCATTTTAGGAAAACAAAATTCCTTGATCAGTTTTGTTACTTTATCTTTGAATATGAGTGAACTATTTACTTTACCTTGGAAGCATGTTAAAAAATTCATTACCTGAAAAATTTGAGAAACATGTCAGAAACTTTTGATAGCAAAATGGCCAGAAAATTTAAGGAACTACCTACCACCACCAGGCCTTAGTTTCTTATAAACAAATATGTGTAGCTTCACTCAGCTGAGTGATGTCAGAGAGTTAGTAGCACAATTTGACATCATCAGCATACAAGGACACAACAAAATTTTGGATGGCCTGTGGAGATCATTGTCATATGTCCACTGTTCCAGAATTCCATTGACCTGACAGAGCTGGTGGCAGCTAAAAAGGTATATGATTTAAATCGGGAAAGTTCCCAGTGTCTAATACTATTATGGGCAAGCTTTTGGCAGAGAATTTCATGGTCTATAGTGTCAAAAGCCTTTTTGAAATCAATGAATACAAGTCCCACAAACCTCCCACAATCAACCATCTGTACCTATTGCTAGTATTTTCAGTAGTACAGCTATTGCTTGTAGTCATAAAGTAGTACAGCTGATCAGAAACTTGCCTTAAGATGACAAGTAGGACTGATATTGGGCGATAGTTGGATTTTTTGGCCTATCTTAGACCTTAAAATTGGTGCTACTGTAGCCACTTTACAAGAGTCTGGAAACTGGCTTGTTTTAATTGATGTGCTAAACAGGAAAGCCCTAGAGTTTTCATTGTAAGACAGACAAGCTTCAGAGAGTAGCTAGATATGAAAAGATAGTCAAATGTTTAACAAATGTCAAAGGTTTTATCAACTAATTGCTGCTTGATCTTCGGAGGATCTTTCTTAGGTGAATCTTTTATCAAAAACCAGAGAAGCCATAGCATTTTAAATTACTTTTGGGTCTGGATTTTGAGAAGGCCCTGGAAGAGTGAGGATTCAGCTGGCAGCAGAAACATCGTTTTTATCCATAGTTGTGTGACATGGAGAATTGTCTTGATTAAAGAAAAAAAGCTTATTCATATAATTAATAAATTATAAAAATTTTTCTGGCACTTTTGGGGTTTTTTTGGAAGATGGCAACATAATATGCGGCGTTCAAAAAATACTCCGGAAGAACAAGATGGCAACAACATTAGGCCTAAGATGTGAAGTTATATCAACAATAAATGCAGTAAAAAAGAGAGCCTGTGTGCTAGTATACAATGTCCTGCAGAACAATGTCTGTCATGCTTTAAACCAATACTTTATTTGTCAAGAACATTGCAAGAACACAAGGAACAATCATTGTAGTGTATGTCTTCCACGGATAAGAACTGAATACGCGAGGAAAGGTTTCTATTACATGGGTGTAAAGACTTTTAATGAGCTACCACTGAGTGCAAGGATGTCTGACAATGCATCTGATTTTATGAAAATTATGAACACAATTTATACATAAGATTTTAAATTTTTATACTACAAAATTGATTTTTTGAGACCTGCAGGTTGTAACATATTTATATATCTTCTTTTTAAGCACCTTTCTTTTTACAGGACAAAAATTGATAACAGCAATTTTGTAATTGTTGAAATTTATTATTATTATTAACCCTAGCCCATCACTGAAATTCCTCCATTTTCTTACATTTGGCTGGAAGAAGTTATGATTATTTCCTTTTCCAGTTGTTTTTTTCAAATTGAGAAGGCTTCAGAGTTATTTTTGAACTAAATCTACACTTGATATTATTGCCCTGGTCGGCAACATGTCATTCCTTCATAACTTTAACTCTGTTTTGCCTGTGAGTGTGAATATTTGCTGAAAAATCAAGTTTTCCTCTTAGGACACAATTTATAATTCCATATTTCAATAAAGTATGCCTAATTTAGTTTTTGAGCCAATTTTGGTCACAAAACTTCAAAAGTTACTCGCTATTCTTACTCTTTTAAAATTGACAAACAAGTTTCTTTGCAAACCCTGCTATAATTCTTTGTTCCTATAAGAAAACTTTTTTCTCCTGCCTGTTTACAACTTTTTCTCCAGTAAACTGCTTTTTTGGGTAGTAGACTTCATGTAGCCCACTTTCTGTGCAATTTCATTATATGAATGACCTGCCTGGCGTAAAAACTTTATGACCATTTGCTTAGCTTCATCCATATTTTGTGATGAATATCCCAGTAAACTTGCATTATCCCAGTGAACTTTCTCCAAACAAAATTTTTGCTTGTTTACATATTTATTTTGCATATTTCCTGACGCCAGCGTTTTATTTTGCCACCAAAATTTGATCTTACTTTTTCACTAACATGGCATTTGTAAGAATTAGGCGCAAAATTTTGCCCCACCGAATACTTTTGGGAGGGGAGTGTACTGCATACATACATACATACATACATGCATACATACATACAACTTCAACGAAAATATCGGTAACCTCCGCCATATTCTTAGTATCTCGAAATTTCTTGAATTTACTTTTGCAAAAATTCAGAGAATTTGATTAAAAAATATCGCAATATTTTAGCTGATCTGACTTTCCACTGAAAAAAACTTTGCACGCCAGACTTGTGAAGCAGCTGCAGCTCTTTCATTGTCACTTTATCATCATAGCCTACATAACATACTTAGGCCATCATATCAAACACTGTCAAACAAAAGTTTAGTCTAAAATTTTATTTCTCGATGATGAGAGTTACATTCAGAAGAGCTTTATTCTAGCTATTTTCAAGCATACCTCAACGAGGAAACATCTTTTACCACTGATCACCACATTTTCTGCATCGAATTAGCCCTTGACATCGGACACCAACTTTCTTGTCGCCCATTATTGTTGGTTTCTAAACAGGATCGATTACTGAAAACGAGTCTCCGTGTGCGGGAAGGGTTATATCAACTCCCCCCCCCCCAGGGGATGACTGCTGTGTGAATGGTCCGTCAGACGGTTGCGATGTTCTTCAAATGTATGAACGGCTATAAAGTAACAGGTTCGGTAGATGACGCCTCACGCCACCAAAAAATATAGCAAATTCTCACTTTTGTTCATATCACTGCCACAATTTCACAGTATTTTTGTTTCTTTTTATTAAAATTTTCTTTCCTAATCTTAAGTAAGATTTAACACTCTCTTACCATGGAACCGTTAGTGCCTAAGGCCAAAGGTGTTGATGTTCCATGCTCAATTTCAATAACTCTCTGGTCGTATATTCGCTTCTTCTCGTTTTAAACCATACGCTGGGGCGATGACGTAGACATTTTTTGTGCCCAAATTCACTTTCGTTAAATAGATCATTATGCAAGTCAGAAGAACGAGGGTGGACATCTGGGCCCGTGGTAAGTTTTCTGGAAATCACGTCGAAGGATGGACCGCTAGGAAGGAAAAGCTGAGAGATCATTTCCCACTCTGAAGGAAATTATGTTGTATAAGCCAAAATGTATAACAACGACGCCAGAAAATCGATTAAAACAATCAAATTTCTCTCATCCTATGGATATTCATTAAAGAGAAAGCTTGCATTGCTAAAAATTGCTTTAAAAGTGCGTTTCCCAGCAAACTGGAAGCATCAAATTTTTTTCCTTCGGCGGCAACCATGGTCAGTATAGTTACAGTGCCTTCGGAACGAAATTTATATTGGGGGGGGGGGCTGCCCATTGTATTCCTTCTCATTCAGTACACTGTTATAAAGGAAATATTCTACAGTTTATTTCCTCCAGCCCCCCCCCTAGCTCCTCCGGTTCTGACGGGCCTGAGTTATATGCCTAAGCATATCCCGATATGCTCGCAACGGCCTTGGGTCCATATTTTGAAGAAAGCTTGTAGATAATAGAGCGATGTTATGAATACTTGGATGCATTTTTCAACCACTTCTAGAAGTTTTCTTTGCAATTTTTTGCCACCAACCATGGAGCGGCCTTTACTAAACCTTTTTACAATACCTCCCCCCTCCTAACCCTACCTCCCTCAATAGTGACGTCCCTGATTATGTTTGTTGTTCAGTTTGATGAACGATACTTAAAATGACTGTTAGATTTTACAAAAAAACACATACCCTGTTTGTAAATTCTCCATCACGTCCTGTCAGAAATTGACTCCCCCTCCTAATACCCTCATTTGAAGGTCATTTGGTACGCCACTGATAGATATAGATCGGCGCGCTTCCAAACACTTGTACTTTACAGCACATCTCCGAAGCCGAAACTTTGAACATTTTTTTGAAGATAACTAATTAGGAGCGTCGTTTTGACCATTTGCCGCCACCTAGCCTGTGCTCCAGACCCCTAACTTGAAGTTAGGGGTCTGGGACACAGGCTACCGCCCCCCTGTGATATCTTCCCAGCATATCACTGTTAAAATGTAGACAGAACATAAGGATAGTATAATAGCAGAGTTCAGAATTTACCTTAACCTAGTCCTTAACTCTGGTCAAAAATTTTCCCTGTCGAAACTTTTCTCAAAAATTTCAGGCAATCACGTGAATTAAGCTGAATCTCCAATAGAAAAACCTTTTTGCGTATCGTATTAAAATATATAGATATGTTTGAATTTCAGTGCTATTTCCAGTACAAATTTTAGACACGTGAATTGAGTGATGGATAGCGGCTGTATTTAGTGGAAAAAATATTATTTTATTGGTGTTAAAAAGAATCGTTTTACCAGGAAGAGAAGGTTCTGGGTACGAAAACTATTATCAGATCGAAAATCTAAAAGAGAGTTTTATCTTCTTGTGCAAGATATGCTTTTGCACGACCAAGAGTACTTCTTTAGATACTTCAGGATGACTCTACATCAGTTTTAAGTTCTACTTGCAAAGGGAATTGTTCTTGTGAAATACTTTGTTACTCTGAGATATCTGGCAACACGTGTCTTCGATAGAACTTTAGCCGCCATCTTGATTTCATTATCAATGCCCAGAAATACAAAAGTGAATTGATTGTTTTATGGCTTGATACGGCGTAGTACATAAAAAAAGTAGGATCCAATTCAACTTTGTTTGTGTGCATATGCACGTTTTTGAGATACGCGTATTTCAAAAATTCACTAGAAACACGCATGCGCGGCTGTACGATCCGTGTCGATGCGTGTAGAACTTTGCTCATTGGAAATCCGGCTTTAGGGCGTGACTAGCGAGTAGCTAGGGCATAACGGTTGACAGACGCTGTTAATCGAGACAAAATTATGTTTGGGTTGATGGTGATATTCGAATTCGATAAAATTTTGCTAGAATAACATTCAAACATTACAGCTCAAGAAAAGTATTTATTTGTTAATGTCAAATAATAAAATCGATATAAACATGATATAATATAAATTGAAAATTTCAAAACCATGGAATACCAACAGCACTAATTTTTGGGAAAAGATAGAAACGGTAACCTTTCGTTTCAGATTGCACATAGTTGTGAATGACAGAGAAAGATGTTGTTTTGATTGGGATAATTTTTTATCCTGAGCAGAAATATGCAATTTCTTGTTTCGAGAAGGCCATGTTTACACATCCAGAATGAAAAATTTTTAATGATATAGAAAGTGATTTACTGAAAGTGAAATATTTCTGAATAAGTTAGTAATTAGATAAAACAAAAACCCCGGACCAAAGTTTTTCATAGAAAAATGAGAATGAAAAACAGTAAAGAATGCCATCCATCCAACCAACCAAGATGGCGAAGCAAGGTATGTTAAAATGAGCAACAGTAACTTAGTCATGCAAAGAGATGAATTATATTTCTTGGAAATATCCCCCTTTCTTTTAAATTTAGTAGGTGCGAATGGTGGGCACCACAGTATCTCATTCTACGCTGTGCGCTGACGGGGGTATTAAATTGTTGGAGAGATTCTCTAACTGAATTGAATTGCTCAACTCGTTTGCCTATTGGAATGAAAATCAGCAAATTTCCTGAATCACGAATAACAGATTGACAGATGTCAAAATGCAGAATGCTGAATCACGGATTAGCGGTTTCCAGAATGGCGTAATGACGAATGGCCGAATGATAAAATGGTGGAAAATGGAATGGTGGATGCATGATTGCAAACCATGAAATGACTGGTTACAGAATGATAGATAAACGAATGACAAAATGATGTTTTACGGCGAAAATAGAGATGTGGAAATCACAAATTGAAGTATGACACATTAACGAATTACGGAATAGTATCTGAAATTTGCCAAATGCGTGAATGCAAAATTCGGGATTAAGCATTTGCTGGATTCATGAAATGCATTTCATACATTCCAGATTTCGATAACTGATTTTTGTCATATATGACACCCCATAGACTGGCCACAGGGCTAAATTACCAACGGGATACTCGAAATTCCATTCCAGTCACCCTGTGCCTCAAAATTGAAGAAAGGCACAGCCACGAAGTACAAGTGTAGAATAAGACAAGAAATGCCTTTGAATCAAGCATATAATCAATCTTTCTTATTTTAAAAATTGTTACCTTGGGTAATTTGTGATCCTGTCCAGCAGGACAAGCAGAACCTTTGGCTTCGCCAGTGAATAAAACTACAATTACAAATCTCACTATTACGTAGGTAATTTTCAACTGGCCAGCCTGTTTTCACTAATAACACTATTAAAATTGTAGTAATGAGAAGAAAAAAACGTTAATTTTAATACTCAGTTGAAATTTTGCTTTCATTGGCAGAAAATTGGCAAACAGTTTGAAGTTCCTTGCTTCGTTGATGTTGAATTGTAATATTTATATGAAATAGATAAGTGACATAGGAGTCATCATGATTGGGTCTGATGCAAAGAAAAGTTTTGAAATTGAGCCTTCTGTAATGACTAAAAATGTATTTCCCAGATTGAAATTTAACAAATTACTATACCGCTTAGAATTGACCATTCCACAATTCGATTACTGACTTTTAGAAACTTTTTTGAAGGGGACGAGCCATGCTAAAACTCAAGTGACAAACGTTGGGGAAAGAAAAAAAGGGAAACCTTTGGTTCAGAGTGCACATCTATGTAAATAGAAAAAGCTAATGAATTGATTGAGAAAGTTTTACTTCCTGAACAGAAATGTGCATCTTCCTTGTCTCGAGAACTTTATGTAGGCCATATTTACACATCCAAAATGCAGACATTGCAATGATACAGAATATTTTCTATTGAATTGATGCAAATAATAGAGAAATGATAGAAATATACCCAGGCACGTAAATAGTAAGGGGGCGTGGGGGCGTGACGCCCCCCAAAGATTTGAAAATTCCATTGCAGTTGGAAAACTTAAAAATTCACTTGGAATTTTTTCTAACTATTGGGACTAAATATGTGAATTTTATAGCTTAGGATTTTGGGATTTTAAATGTAAAAATCTTAGACCTTATTAGAATTCTGGAGCAGGCACATCTTCTAATCGTTTTTAATTGTGAAGCCCGGTCTCCACTGGATCTCAAATGGCACCATTGCATCGTTTGTTTCCTTTAACAGGGGAATTAAATTATTTTGAACAGGCAAGGTGAATTTCTGGATAAGAAGTTTAAATTTAACCATCAGTACCTGACGTTTTGAGAAATAATTCCCTGTATTGATCAGAACAATTGAAAGTGGGAATTTTCCAAGAAACAACGAGTAGCCAATTCAGTTGAAAACATTAAAAATCTTTCATTGCTAGAAATTCTCAACGCTTCTTAACGGGTGTATGCTAAGCTCCCCCTGCACTTTGCAGACCTCCTTGAATCTTATCATAAATTGCTATGGTGAAGCTAATGAGAAGCCACAAAACATTGATCAAAGAAGCTGCAGCAGAAGTATTCGATCAAAGAAGAGTGCTTTATTTTACGAATCGGGCATATGCACTTGTCCTCAGATCAGCCTTTTCTGTTCCAAGTAACAAAGGACATTAAGCCCTTTGAAAAATTTAACTAATTTAAGTTTAATTTAACTTAAAATTAAAATTATACATATAACTGATCTGCAGCAAATAGCTTTAAGATGGGCAAAGCAGAAAATGAACAGAATTTCTGTTAATTGACTCGAAAGAATATTACTTTTTATCATTAAACATATCCAAGGTCTAGACTGGTATAACTTTGATGTTGCTTTATATCTTACGAAAAGATTAAATGTTCGGTAAAGGTAAGGTTGGAATTTTCTACCTTCCACGACCCCCCAAAATTAGCCACTTGTTTACGTCCCTGAATATACCTAATAAGTTAGTAAATAGATCAAATACAATCAGGAACGCCGGAGAGGGGGGCAGGGGGCGCAAGCGCCCCTCCTGCATTTTAGTTGGGGGAGCAGGGGGAGCAAGAGTGCCCTTTATAGAAGAACTTTTGACTTTTTTACCAATGCTTGACCTGGCCCTAAAGGCCTTTTTGAAGCCTGTCAACATTAATTTTTTATTTTGCATGTTAAGTTCAAATTACGAAAACAAACTGCAATGCCATGAAGTACACAGGATGATTAAATTTTACAAAACAGTGCCACTTAGTTCATCTACCTGCAAGCGCAGTTTCAGTGCCATGCGCAGACTCAAGACGTGATTAAGGGTCAAAGCAAAAGCAAACCATTTGAATGACATTATGTTTGCACATATACAAAAAATAGATTTTGACAAATTGGACATTAATTTGGTAGCAAAGAAGTTTCAACAGAGAAACGACCAGAGGAAGGACTATTTTGGCAAATGAACCCCGCTATAGACTTTGCAGATTTGTTTTTTCTGTTCAGTTGAAGGTAAAATTATCTGGGATTTACAAAATGATAAAATTGAATTAAATGATTTAACTTAAAAATTGTTTGGTAGAATTCCATTAATTTGGCTGGCGCCAACAATATTATTCTTATATTATTTTAACGTATCATTGAAGTTTGTACTACGCCCATAAAGTTGTTGTTGTTCATGATGATGGTGATGATGATGATAATGATAATGATGTAATGATGCAAAAATGCCACCTTGCAACACACAGCCCCCCTTGCCTTTTATTTCTTCCGGCGTGCCTGAATACAATCAAGCAGTATATAAACAGTCTGCTCTTTTTTTATTTCATACTTTGTTTAACAACCTCAGATGGCAAAAACCATCAATTTGAGGGGTCCAATTTGAGAATTTACGGTAGCAGTGGGAGCTTATTCGAGGGGTGCTTTTTCGAGGGGGCAATTCGAGGATTTACGGTAATTAGTTTGAACTAGCACTAGCGGAGCAGAGCATAGCGGACACCGCGGAGCGTTGAGAAATTTGGGGGGTCTAAAAAAGCGGGGGAGGGGGCTAAAACCGTATCAAGAGAGGCTTTACTGGTAGTTCGTTACTTAATATTTGGCATTTTTGCAAAAAGTGGGGGCTAAAGCCGCCCCAGCCCCCCCTGCTCCGCGGTGCCTGCATAGTTACTGTGAGTAGAGTGAACAAGTTTTGAAGAGGGATCAATTGACCAGAGTTCACTTGATAAACTCCGTTTGCTTGTTTACGCTTCATTTGGCCAGGCTCCATCTTGACAAAAAAAAATAGGTGTTCTGCAGTCACACAGCTAAAGAAATTTGCTATTTTTGGTTTGGCAAAGATTCATTTCCGCCCACAGTTCCTAGCAGCTTTTTTAGGAAACCACAATCGTGACATAGCAGTGAATGAGACCGGAAGTTACAGTAACATAATAGTTCAACGAGACTTCCAATGAAAGAGGATCTCCCACTTTATTCACGGCTTGCAGAGCAAACTCAGAAGGACAGTTCGTCAATTTTCTGAAAGCAAAAGATAAACATAACATTATATTCATTACTTGAAGTCAACAATTCCGTTACGCTAACGGGTCATCATGATTTCAAGGTTTGTGCTTCTTCTAGATTATGTCGTGCCCACGTGTTTGTGTATTACTACGTTCATTCATGATTTCTCATGTTTTGGCGATGTAGGCTCCGAATGCTTCCATATCAGCTCATTAAACAAATGGTCTATCTGCTACTCTCTGAACAGCTTACATTTTAGGAAGAACGTTGTTATAATTACCTACCACTTCTCAAATTGTTTCAGAAATCTCGGTTTTCTTCATTCATTTTAGTCTTGTCATTGTCGTGTCACTTGTGTTGTGTGTAAAAACAGCAGTCGCCGAATACCTAAAAGAGAAAGCAGGCATATCTGGGCTGTGCTTCTTCAGATAATTGCTCACCAAAGTTTTCCGAATGCAAGGTTCAAATGATTTTATCACTGAAGCAGTGCTTCGTTTGTTATAGGCTGCGAAACGTCCGTCAGCTCACGATACGACAAATTTTCACATTCAGTCACTCATGTGATAGTATCTACAAAAAGAATTGTACTGATAAGGCTGTGGTTAGTTGGTATGGCGAGGCAGCAAGTCTCGGAGGTTAACGTCTTCTGAGCTAAAAGGGCCTAAGTGAACAAAAGGTTTTTTTGTACGCAAAATTTGGCATAAGTGTTCAAAATAGAGGCTGAGGGGGGATGGGCTTCCAACCCCAAGAGTTGAATAGATCATTAAATTGCCCAGGAGGGAGGGTCACTCAACTATGCTTAGGATAGGAGTGTCAGACTGAAGTATAAACCATCAGCCCAAAAAATAGCTAGTAGCATAAAAATTGACCAAAAAAGTAATTTTACTCACCATGCACAATAAAGTTTGCAATTTTCTCCATTTTTTAAACTTTTCTCATTATCGAGACCCAAGAGTAATTCAGAATTTCACGAACACTTAAAAGAAATTGTACAAATAACCAACCCGAAAATAGCTTATGCTTCAATTCTAAACCTGAAAAATTAACCCGAACATCCCTATCCTATAAAAGCCTATTGGGCAAAAAACGTCATGTACTTGGACAAAAGTTTTGGAACACAACTCCTTGAATTTTTGTTAGAACAATTTCGTAAGAACAGGAGCCTCATAATTTTTTCTGCGCGTCTACTCGATTTGCTTGCCGTAATAGAATGGTTTTTGGGAAACAACAAGGGGAAGAAATAAAATCAAGATAGATTCTTGGGAACATTGTTGACATCCGCTATCTCGACTGTCCGCTATCTCGATTGCCCGCCATCTCAAACATTTGTAGCCTGGAATCCTCGAATTGAACTTGATAAACAGGGTGAAAATAATTTCAAAACTTACGGATAATAATCAAACCTTTTTGATTGTCAAAAACGATGTATTTATTAATTTCCACGACTCTTTCAACAATCGCGTTAAAAACTGTAAGAGAAGGCTCAGAAAGTTTCCCAACTCAGCGCAAATGCTGATGATTTCCGAAATTCTGTAACAAACAAATGACCACAGCAGCATCTTTACAAACAGAAGATTAAATTCTTGCCAAACTCTGGTTGATAACTTGTTTAAAGACGGCCAAGAAAATGATAATTTTGCATGGGATGAACTATAACAAGATCAGTTCTAGTAAATGATTCTAGAATTGTCATGGAGAAAAAAGTTTCCTGGACTGCCGGCTGTATGCTTGTTGTGTGTGTATGCTTGACCTGGCTTATTCAGAGTGAAGTCTCCGACGTAATCTGCCTTATTATGGTGAAATGAAGAAGGTGGTGAAAATTTAACACTAATTTCTGTTGAGTTAGATGAGCCAAGGATGAAAAGTTTCATTCTATTCTCGTTTTCAATAACCAACCAACTAACTCGACAAACAACAGTTCCCACTTAAATACAAAAACTGTGAGGGGGGGGGGGTACCTTTATAATTTTTGAGGCACGGGGACGTGGCATTATTTAGAGGTACCTTTTTCAGAAAAAGGGCGGAATTATGGGTATCAGTTTTTGAAATATGTCTGGAATTATGGATACCATTTGAAGAAACATGTAGAGTGGTGGGTATCAGGATGGAAAAGGTATTGCAAAATTATTTGGGGAATTTAGCATTGAAAATATGAATGCTCAGTTAGGAATGAAAATATGAAATAAGAGGGTAATATTGAGATTTTGGGGCAAAGAACATCCATTAGAAATATTTATTGCCTTGGGGAATAATGGGTATAGTTTTCATCATGTTTGCGGAATTATGGGTCACATCTCTTCAGATATGTGAGGAATTGTGGGTTCAAATCTTGGATCAAAATGGCATGTCCCCTCTAAAACTAGGCTTAGTCCCCCCCCCCCGAGACAAAAAACGTACTAGTAAGAAAACATGCGCAGTGTGCCGCATGCACCTGTGGAAATAAGAATGCATTAGACCAGGTAAGCCTTTATATGCTGCATGCGAATATCTCTACAATTTTCAACGTGGTTTGATGCTTCAGTTGGGCTTAATAGTAGATAGATTATGATTAGGGTGATCGAGGATAGCCAGAGTGAAAAAGAGCTTTACGCTTAAAGTGTTGTGTGCAATGACTCAGAAGACGATCTTGAGGAACTTTGAAACGATTTAACTACGTTTAGATGATCTGGTTGTCTTTTCACAGTGTCATTTATCAGTTAGTTATTAATAGCGCTGCATTGTTCCTTCGGATGACAGTCCAAAAATTAGTCACAACATAAGATGTATTAAGCTTTTTAGATGTCTATTTAAGGATAAAAATTTTAAGATTACGCAATTTTCTCGTGAAGACGACGCTTTTGGCCCCACTCAACAGACCAAAATTCAATTTCAAGCATTTATGGGCAAGAAATATGCTTAATTAACTTTAAGACTTTAAATTATTTCTATTTAAACTGATTTTCATTGATTACTTTCATATACGCAAAGGCGAGACTTCAAACGCGAAAAAGAGGCTGATAGCCCCCCATAATCCCCGTATAACATTGATTTTTTGGCGGTACAGAACTTGAAAATGGCTTTAAAAAGAGCAAACATGATTGCTTTTTTCAAAGCCATTTCAACATTGATTTTCGAAATCAGCACCCTCGGATTGACCAAAAGCACTTGGTCCCATAAATTTCCCTCTCGGGCGACCATTCCCCTATTCTCCGCCTGGTTTACATTTGACAATGAACATAACGCAACAATTACCACTGACATCAAGCAATGCCAAGGGAGCATTTTAAAAAATACAAAATACAAAGCATTTTCAACGCTGAAATTGATGGATAACCAGCTATATCCAATATTAGACAGACGACACTTCAAACCTTATGCTAATATCTGTAGCATAAGATATTCTTGCCAAGTAATAACAGATTTTCTTTACATATGATAATAAAAGTCATTTTATATGAACAGCGATATCCTGCAAATTTCACTGTCAAAAGTGATTAAGCCCAATGGAACAGAAAACAACGATCTCTTTTAAGTGAGATAAGAACTTCATCTTAAGTTTTTATATTTGAAATATCGGACGTTTGTTGCAGTTGAATTCTCTTCTGTTTTTTAAATGGCTTTGAAAAAAATACCCAGTTATAGACCTAAATAGGCCCATCAGAAAAACGCAAGCACATGACCGGTACAGTTACCCACTCAGAACAGCGGGCCTAGCAAAAACATAGCAAGAAAGCCATTAAAACAACTGATTCTGCCATCGGCCAACATCTTTTAGAAAACCCAGATTGTACCAAAGGCTACAACGACGACATGTTTCAGATAAAAATGTAGCAAATATGAAACACCGCAATACGCCGAGAATAAACAACAATAAAAACAAGTAAATCAGTAAAGGCTCATATTTCGCCCCGGCATACGGTGCTTCATCAGAGCAAAAGTTAACGGGCTAAAAATTTTTACATATTTAAAAAAGGCGATGGTGGTGTCGGATTGGCTGATGTGGAATGGTGTGAATGCAGCGCAGTGGTAGAGGAGGGAAGGGTGGCGAATGAGAGAGGGTGGGTGGTGGTGGTGGAATGAAGACGTAATGGGGATGAAGTACTGTAATATGAAATAATGATATTGTTGCTATAAGGTTAACGGTCAGTAGTTCTGTTCATGCCGTTCGGTGTGAGAGTGTTTGCCAGGCCAATGAGGTATTGCTCTTTGGCTCGTCGGACACTCTCTCGTTTGTCGTTGAGTTTCAGTAATGGTGTTACAGTAAGGTCATTGATGGTATGTTCTCGGCTACAGAAGTGTTCTGCAACACCAGATTTGTCTACTTTTTTGTTGATAATGTCTCGTCTGTGTTCGTTAAATCTGTTTTTAAGTCGTCTGCTTGTTTGTCCGATGTATTGGCAGTTCTTGTGTCCGTTAGTTAAACAGCGTTTGCACTGTAATGCGTAAAGAACGTAAGTAGAGTTGCAGTCCAGTCTTTGTTTTATTTCGTAGTTTTTGTCAGTGTTAGTGAAGTGAAAAGAAGTAGTACTGTCTGTGATGTGTTGGCATGTTATGCAGTTACGTCGCGAGTGGTATTTGTTAGTGCCTGTAGGATTACTGGGTGTGTCACTTTTTATTCTTGCACGAACCAATATATCCCGGAGGTTTTTAGGTCTACGGTAGCTGAGTATGGGTACGTCGGGGAAGACTTTTGCATGTTTTGGAGTTCTGTAATATGTTGATGTTTTGTTTGAGGATGGTAGATAGCTGTGGCAAAGAGGGGGTGATAGGTGACTACAAATGGTGTTCTGTGATTTTTACGTTGTTTTGTGGTTTTCAGGCAGTCCTGTCTGGTTTTTTAGAAGCCTTCCGTATTTGTTTGCGTGTCTGTTTTGATAGCTGGCAGAGCCCGGTTGTCTTTCGATCTAGCAGTTTTGGAACAGATCTACATAAAAACAAAAAAGCTGCTATTGCTTAGACAGAAGGAGCTCGTTTTCATCTTTGAACTCTAGTGGTGATTCTTCTATAGGCACGCGGTACCAGTTTGCCAACTTTACCGGTATATTTCGATTCAAAACTGGGTATATATTTCCTTTTTGATTTTTTTACCCTGATTCTTACGTTTTATACTTTGAGGAGTGTAAGACGAAAAGCTTAAGTATGTTGTAAAATGTTTGTTTTTTTCAAAGCAATTTTCAAATTTTGTACCGCCAAAAAGTTCTTTTGTTGTTTATTAGAGTTTGGTTTTCTTTCAGCATTTTTAGTAGCCGTTTCGACGTCAGTTTAATGCTTAATTTCAAAATTTCCTCATTTCTTAACTTTAATTTTACTCTCAATCTGACTAAAATGTTACTGAGTTACCTCAAAGTTGATGATTATTTCTATGTAGTGTCTTGTATGAAGATTTGTTTTCAAGGAGGGCTAAGTACATCTCTGAACGCTGTATGTTCAGACGACGCTCTATTGTACCTGATATAACCAACCAGGGTCACAAATAGTTGTAACCAGACATTCTGATAGATATCATTTATGCAAGAGAATGAATACACGTTAGAACAATACCTTTCTATGTACTGGTTTCGTTTTGTGAAGGAGAAAGTGGTCGAGGATACAATGATGATGCTAATGCAAATGAACGATGTCGATGATGCTATTTAAGTGGATGATTATTTTGTCCTGTTGTTTTATATGACCAGTTGAAGTGAATGTACCTAAAACGTTACTTGTTGTTTTGTATGAAGAAGTTGTCTACCGGTTGTTCGGCTTTTGATTGACACTTATTGGCGGAAAAGTTTTTAGCAGTATTTTGACGTGAATGATCATTTCTAAAATTTGATTACCTTTTGCAGTTGTAAAGATATGCAACCCTTTTTTTCCAGAGAACTACTTCTGCTTCTGGCAATGATTTGGCATCATTCACAAGGAGAAAGTAATTTCGCAGTTGCCTTTGTTTCTACTTTATCTACATCAATTTTTGTTTTCACGTTTTCACCTAAAATTAGCTTTTCTAAAAGTATAACAAAAATGGTTTTAGGTACAAGATAAATATTTTATTCACGTCTTCGTCCAGAATAAGCTTTTTCAAAGAAAGGTCAAAGTTGGCTGTATTACAGGAACCAAGTCTGTTATCACCAGAACGTAAATGAAAGAAAGAAATTTGCACTGGTAGTTAGGTAAAAATGTTATGCATTTAGATTTTAGGTAAAAATGTTATTCAAAGAACATAATTTGACGTAGGATTTCAATGTTCTTGATACGTAAGAGATGAGATGGAATCTCCTTTTGAGCCTGTTCGCTAAACGATGTTCGCTTTTTCCAGGATGTCATTATGTCCTTCATGGTAAACGTGGTGTAATCAAAAGTCCTAATCACCCTGCTATTTACCCAAGTAATGCTGCATGCACTTGGCTTATACAAGTACAAAAAGAGCACACTATCACATTGAAAATAAAGTCGTTCAGACTGGAAGGCAGAAGCCCTAGCTGCATTAAAGATGCCCTGATGATATACGATGGTGCAAACTCAACGGCCTACTCGTTCAATTCGCCGTACTGTGGCCGAACTATTGAACCCTCTCTGAAATCGTCTTCCAATTCCATCTTCATTAAGTTCAAATCAGACTCAACTAAAGAATTCTCAGGATTTAGCATCGAGTACAGTGCAGAGAAAAGTACGACAAGTTGTTTTCTGTAGCTCTTTCTTAGACATCAAGCCGAGGTGTCTATTATATCTGCGTGTCCCTTTTAAGTAACTTCCTTTATTGCTTTATTTTGTAACCAGTTATTTAGTTTTTGTACATTACGTGATATTATCATCTATGATTCTCTACAGGTATTTTCAACAATCTAAATAAGTCATAATAATATATTTTATTAGAAGAAAGTTTCCGGAAGAGAGTTCGCAAATTGATAAAAGCAAAAAGTTTTTGAAATTAATTTTCATGAAAGAAGCAAAATGGGATCTTTTGCGAGAGTCAACTTCCGCGTTGTAGTATAAGACCTTGAATTTTGAGCGAAAAAATATTGCTATTCAACTGCGGTTTCTTTCTATTTTTATTCCTTTACTACCAACAAAAAAAGGAAAACAATTTGAAATTCGCTAAAAACAATCATTTGTCACTAAGGTTTCCAAAAGGGTCAATAGGAAATTTTTCTGGATATTTCGCGAGAATTAAATTTCGCAAATTTCGTATTTCAAAAAGTTTCGTTTTTCCCGCGAAAATTTCTCCCCAAGTATTTCCTAAAAGCAACTTTCACCTCATTGTTACATCTTCTTCATCTTTCATTTCTTCAGACGTTTTCTTTTTGTGTTATTTCTCGCGTATCATTTCCTTCCCTTTCTCGCAAATAACCTAACGATTTGCCACATGCTCCCATTTCTTCCTTTGTAGATTGTAACGAAACCATCTATGCTGATAGTGGAACGATTTCGAGTCCAAATTATCCTCAGGATTACCCTCCAAATGCCGATTGTCATTGGAAGATTGAAGCGAGCAAAGGAAAGAGAATAAAAATTGACATCAGGGATTTTGAGATGGAAGGGAGCCAAGGAGGCATAGGTACCAATGCCTATATTTTGAATGTTACGGTTGCATTTCTGCTTTTCTGTTAGCGACCTAAGCTCGATAAATCCTTACTTATCTTTGGTCGTGAAAATTTTTGTTATACAATCGAATTGTACAGCTTTTGTATACAATAAAAATTGAATGTACTACATTTACTAAACAAATGTCGTTGAAACAATACTTTCTCTGAAAATGAAAACGATTTATATGTTTCTTGCTGCACAGATCAGTGTTACGATCACATAGCATTCTATGACGTAATTGCCAGCCAAAAAAGGTTGATTGGGCTGTACTGTGGGAAGAGCATACCATCCCCAATCACTTCAAAGACGAACAGACTTGTCATACATCTTTTAAGCGACGCAACTGTTTTCAAGAGAGGATTCCTAATGAGATTTACTGCAGAAGGTAAGATATTTACCGATCTATATTTTCACTCGTTCAAAACATTAATAAAACCCTGTATGCCGGGGCGAAATACAAGTATTTATTAAATTTAATTTATTTTAAATTCTATTTCACTACATTGAATTCGCGTTGTCGTATTATTTTGTTCCTGGGTATCACCTTCGACTTTTTATTTGCAAGATACACAAAATCCGGCGGACAGCATACCCTGCGTTTTTTCTTCTTACACATAATATTATCAAGCTTTCTTTGAAAACAATATCTCATAGTTTCAAATATTTTATTGTTGACATGAAATAGGAAAGGGTTTGCAACATTTTAGAATAAGCTTTCAAGTGCAGCGAGTAATCAAAATCTTTTTACTTTAAATAGGAAACCAAACTGAGATACATTAAGTACAACTGAATAAACTGGGGTTTGTTCAAATATAAATATTACAAGACTAGGAATTTGAGCCAGTTCAATACTAGAAGTTTTCTAACATTGTCAAATTTTCAGTACTAAGAGATTCTTCAAAGTTTCTTAAGCGTTCAACAACAATCTAAAAAATATGTGTAAATTAATAACTTGATGTCGGTTTTCTTTATTCCGAAAAATAAACTATCTAAAATATTTGTCCGAAAATGTTTTTGCCGAAGGTTATTGTCCCACATTTTACCCACTGGAAATTTGTGTGCTTAATGAAGTGAAGAAAAATAAATATGACACGGTTTACCAATCAAACATGAACATTAGGAATTTCAACAGAAGAACTGCATCAACAAAAATTAAGATTGAGCAATTTTGCAAAGTTGGGGTATTATTTCGTAAAATTTGGTTTTGAAACTTATAAAAAAGGACTGTAGACTTGATAACTTTCAAACTGGGCTGGTCAAAACCAGTTTCAATAGAATTTATAATTACGTATAAATTTTAAGAGTAGATTGCTCGGGATTGCTCTTTTTTGCGAGGACGTATTTCGGGGAAGGACTCTGCCCATCTGCAATTCTCCCTCTACTACCATACTCCTGATTCTTCGTTTCTCATATTCTCAAAAGCTTTCTTCTTAGAAATTTCCTTTTCATTAATAGCTTAGTTCCCTCTTTCTGTAACGTTTCCGAGAATTTTTCCGTTAACAACTAGACCTTGTGAGCTAGATTTGGCTGTAGAAAAAGCGAAAATCCGTCATTTATCTTTAGCACCGTTTTTTCAGGATCATGTTTCCCGATCTATATTTTTCCTGAATATCAGTGCAGCGATATTAACTTCTTGCTAGTTCTTGAGGATGCAATAAACCAGTTGACACGAATAAGAAGTAAACTTAGGCTAAACATCCAAACTACTTAAAGTAGAGGGAGTTGGCAAGTTGGTGAGTTTGGAAAGCTACGACACCGAGTACTCAACCATTTTCGGTACATCATTTTTCTCCAACTTATTTCCAACACTAAAACCATTGAGCTAAAATATTCCCACGAAAAACCGTTACAAGATTATCACTCATTAACCAATCAAAATGGAAGGTCTTACAATTATGGGTGTAGCGTGTTCACTCCTTGCAAATGTAACAATAGATGTGCGTCAAAAGCTTAAAAGGTGAAAATATTAATTACTCTAGTGCAAATACATCTTTTATCAACATGAATAACAATTAACCAAAAACATGACAATATGACAATAGTCAAGAACGCATTTCAAGATCATCCAGTGCCTGAAAGTTGAAAAAATCGCCGAATCGGTGCATGGATCTTAATCACTCCCTACAAAAAGGAGATATGTCTATGTTCTAAGCTATGTGATGACTCTCATTCCTGGACCCTCAAATGGTCAAATAGATGGATGTTTCTATACACTGCCTTGAAACGAGGCCAGCAAATCAATCAGTACAATGGGACCTTTTTCGAAGACAGCCATCCCACTGGATCTTAACCTTTAGACCTTTGACCTATATGCAAGGGCTCTTATGCTGGTACAGTCAAAAGATAAACTACGAGGTATATTTTAGGCACCTGAGGGCAATTACAAAAGTCATGCTGATAATAGCATACACGACAAGCAGCAGACACATATGGACCAAATGTGGTTAAACAGATCGTCGACTGTTCGCACATGAAACGTGTAGCTGCTACTCACAGACCTCGGTTTCAGATGGTCAAAAAAGGGATCGTCACTTTTCCTCTGGACCTTGCAGTGACATTCATAATTTTGTAGAGAGGGTTGCCAGAGCATTAAAGGTTTTATAACTTGACCAGCACCTGATACCGACGTGCTGGTCAAGTTATTTGCTTGCACGGCTGACTTTTCCTAAAGTTGATCGAGTTTCTAAACTCAATTTCACTTAATAGATGTAGAGCCCTGGCAGGATTTCATACATATACTGGTTGTGATGTGACAGAAAAAGTTTCTGTTAAAGGGAAAGCATCTTAGTGGAAACTTTTCGCGGATGCCGAAGATGATTTCAAAGCTGCGTTTACTTCTCTTTGTCGTGACGACGTAAAAAGGATGACTTATTTGAGCAAATTGTATGCAAAGTTTCCTGAGGTGGAAAATCAAGTGTAAATAGCTCTGCTTAAGCCAGATGGTGTCTCTTTTGCAGATCACCTGATGCTTGCGAGATTCTTATGCTTTGTATGCTTTGCAGATCACCTTCAACTTCCTCTGCCCATCATGAGCACATAGCAAGAGCCAATTAGGCTGCTGCCGTATACAGTATTCTCTCCAATTAACGGACACTCTAAAAGGCGGACACCACTGATTAGCGGACAAATTTTTTTCCCCGATCGTTTTCTGGTCAAAGTATCATAAAAAACTTTCTAGAAAGCGAAAACTTAATTAGTGGACACTCTAATTAACGGACAATATTTTTTTGCCCAAAATAGTCAATTTGGCTCTTTTTCTTTCCAATTAGCGGACAGTACAAAAAAGTTAGAAGGCAGCGAACAAAAACTTGAGACGAATGGATATTTGTTCAAATATTTATTTCAAACACTTTTACATTTGACAATCTAGTTAGCTTTTAACAGCTTCAAACTTCTTTACAGCCCAGTTTACTAACTTTTCTTGTCCATGAAAGTGGTAAATTACTGGAATCTCCAGATCATAGCCACCTCCATGATTCAACCCGATAGCCACTAATTACCCAGATAACACCCAGAGGTGGCGCCAGAAATCTTTTGCTTCGACAATAACCTAAAATTGCCTTCGATGGGGGGCTAAATGCTTTCGACGAAGGGGCTGTAGCCCTCCCCCTAGCCGTCCCCTGGCGCCACCACTGATCTCACCTTTTAAATACAAAATTCGGGTCTATTTTCAAATTTGGGACTTACATTGCAAAACTTTCCAAAAGGCGGACACTTTCAATTAGCGGGCACCTTGCTCTTGCCCCGACGGTGTCCGCTATTTGGAGAGAATTATTTATTTTAATTTCCATCAAGCGAGGCAAACTTTGCCGAACATTGAAGAGTTTGGTTGTCATATGGAAAACGAAGCAGGTACATAAATTGCTAAAGATAGTTCAATCCAAAAAGCGCAGAAAAAATATTAGAGTTGCTAATGTCATTACAGTGCTAATGTCAAATGTGGTTGCGAAGGCAAAGGTGCCATTGGATTGATTGTGAGAAAAGAGACTTTAGCACTGCAATGCTATATCACAATGATGGAGAAAAGAAATCGAACATTAAATTTTTACGGACGACCATTACTGAGTCCTTGTTTTCAACTTTTAATTGATAAAAAATTTTTGTTTGCTTATCAAAGTTCATAATTGTTATTTTCCTATCTATCTGACTTCATTGTGACGTCATATTACCAAGAAAAATTGAAATTTTTAGCTTGGTATCTTCAGGATGTAAATTGTATCACATTTACAGCTCAAATTGCAAATTATTTTAAATGAAAACAACAGTGGATGAAGTCAACCTATGATGTCATGCTGACGTCATTAAGAACTTGACCTGGTGATAAGATGTGAAGGAGATAGAACAAGGCATGGGTTGCAAACAAAACAGAACGATGATTTATATATTTACTTCAACGGCCTACACACCTAGCTTCACTGTAATATGAAACTGAAAGTATATTTTATCTACATGGGTAACATGAGCTAATGCTCCTGCGCATAGTATGTTCGTATACTACTAGGTTACTACACCTGTAGACATCGATTTTTGAATCTACGAAAAGTTGTGAGCCCGTTATGAAATAGAAGACCATACTGTGAGAGTGGGACTCGTATTCTGGACAATAGGACTCGGACTATTTGTATAATTTCGTTCCTCTCGGGATCTAGTATATTTTGAAAGCAAGTTCAAATGCTCTAGAATGGTGAGCATACCGTTAACTAGTATTTTTTAGTTTGAAATTAATCTTTTTAACCAAACACAATGATCTACTTGCTGATTCTATAAATTTATATTTGAAGCCTTAGGCGATCAGTCAGCTTCCAGCACGCCAGCTCTGAACAAAACAGTAAGCAAGGATGGCTCGACTTGCACTGAAACCGATTTCAAATGCCGTAACGACGTTTGCATACAGCAGGAAGTGCGATGTAACCAGGTCGACGACTGTGGCGATCATTCCGACGAGCTTGCATGTGCAGGTATCAGACGTTCTAATAAATGTTTAAATTCCTCTTCCCTCAATTCTATATTCAAATTTTCTGTGCGTCCCAGCTTGCTCAATACATTTAGTTCAAAACACTGCATAAAGAATAGTGTCGCATAACAACCCCACCTTGTTGCCTTAGGTCCTTGGCATCATGCGCTCGTTATTTTGGCTTCCTTGTGTATCTTACAAATATCTTCCTTATACCCGCTTTACTGATGCGCGAAGTAAAGGTTGATCGTGAATGGCGCAGCCTGAGTTTAATTGTGAGTGAAGTTTTTCAGCGATTAATTATTACTTTCTTACATCGAAATGCATCGAAATGCTCTATGCAAACGTAATTGAAAAATACGTTTTTGTTTATTGTTCAACTCATTGTTCACCGTCTGACGACATTTTAGCTAATTGATGAAAATATATAAATTGATTGACATTAGCCCCAAAACCAATTATTTTGCATGTCGCAACACTTTTTGTAAGGTTTTCTGTTTAATGGCAAGGTGCTTAATTATTTTAGAGCCCTGCTCTGACAAAAACGGAGGCTGCGAACACAGCTGCAAGACGCATCCAGCATGGGGATCCTTCTGCACTTGTAACAGTGGCTACACACTGGCGGCGGACAAAAAGAGCTGTCATGGTAATCTGCATTTATTGCATTTCTATAGCGGTTGCAAATACAAGCTTAATAGCTGGACACGTTATTTCAATCACTTTGGCTGAGTCAATAAAGGATCATCCCCTTAATTCTTTGTACATATATTTTACGTTTGATAGATCATGGAAATTGGGCTACCGAAAGAAGTGCTACACAAACAACAGTCATTCTCTTTCGTTTGAAATTCGGCGCTGACTTTTACTGAATTTTTTTCTATAGAGCATATGATTTACAGGAAGCGATTTACCTTCCTGAGTAGCTTGTTGAGACACTTCATCCGTTGTTATGCGAGTCCTCTCTACTTTTTCAACATTTGAAACCTGAAAGGAGATTTCTTTGTTTATTGGACGAGAAAAAGCTGCCAATTCCTTTTTGTCTCAGATATCACTTTCCACTCAGCGAAGTTGATGTTTCAAAGATTGTAGAAGGGGGCTCCCATTTTAGGGTCCAGTAAAACCAGAAATACAAAGAAAAAAAGTAGCCACCTTTCTCTACTCAAAATCTTTGAAGCTTCAGACTTTATTTATTGATAATTCTGATGCCCAAGAAATTATGAAGTATTGATTTAATTGATTTTAACTACGAAGTGTAAAAAGATGTTATAAAGGTAGTGATAATCTGATAAAATGCGATTCCATACGCTTGAGACTGTATTACAAGCAAAGATGTTCTCCTACCAATCACCTGATTGATTTGGGATTTTTTTTAGATCTTGACGAATGCAGTCGAAACAATGGCGGTTGTGGGGATGTTTGCTCGAATTTTGTTGGTGGTTACAAATGTGAATGCTCACAGAATGGATACCAGATTGGCGAAGACGGGAAAACATGTCAAGGTACTAGTTGAATATACATTTTATTCAATTTTGACCTTAAAACTTGTTGCGACCTTAGATTTCAATTAATAACTGAATTGTCTTTTCAGATATAGATGAGTGCCTTGCAAGGCCATGCGAGCATTTATGTCAAAATACGGTGGGGAGTTATGTTTGCAGTTGCTTGGAAGGATTCCGCCCAACTTCTTCTGGCGTTTGCATAGATCAAAATGAATGTGCCATTGGAGTACCATCCTGTTTTGACTGTATTAACACGATCGGAAGGTTGTTACTTTTAGGAACTTTCCTCATTAACGCTCTGTAATTTGGGATTGTGTTCAATCATTGACCTATGCCAGAAAACAACAAGGCCATTGGGAGAGAATTATTGATTTTTATCATCTGGTTTTTTATGAACGTGATTTTGGTGACCAGGTTTCATAAAACACATGGTTGAACTTATTTTGACAGATTTCTGATCTTCAAATGTTTCAGGGACGTTGCCATATAGTTGAAACTTAATGGCAATAATATAAAACCTATATCTAAAACGACTACCATTTAAAGTAAAGACGTATCTAACATGGGAAGTTGCATTCAAATCTAATTCTTAATCAAAGGATCGCCATTTTGGATTCCTCAGTGATTAGGTAGAATATGAAATGACCTACAATTTTAGCCTAGATACAGCAGCATTAAAACTAAGGTTTTAGCTTCAATTTATTTCCTGTGATAGTTATCGATGCAACTGTGGCAAAGGATTCGTCGCTGTAAATAACGCAACGCGATGCGAAGATGTTGATGAGTGTGTTACGGGAGAAGCCTGTAGTCAACTTTGTACAAACACATACGGAAGTTATCATTGCCACTGCCGACAAGGGTTCACGCCAAGGTACTCTCCCCACCCTGTCTTTTCAGTTATGTCATGATTGATGTTATTACATATCTCTTTGACATGTATCTTTGGAGATGGCATGAAACGGCGAAAGTATACTATACTGAAGTGCTTTGTCTGACGCTCTCCAGGGTAAAAACATCCGTATTCGTCCGTTTCTGTCCCACCAAAAACGTATTTGGATAGATTTGATGCTAATGAAATGAAAGGTACAGTGTATTGTATATTTATCTAGATTCGTGTTCACTGAAATGTACGTGTTCATTGCATATGGATATAGATTTATCTCTCATTCGCGAGTCAATTTATAATTTTTTATGAACAAAAAAGCCTGGTAAAATGTGCCAAGTGCACGCTCGTACTGTTTAGTGATGCAGGATTATACAAATACTGTGGCAAAGTAAGCAAAAATCCAGGAAACAATGTATATTTTGTAGATAATGTTATTTCTTGCAGTGGCAACAGATGCATCGACGTAAACGAATGTCAGACAGTTGGGAAACAATGTAAACACAGGTGCCTCAACAGCCCTGGTTCTTATTCGTGTGTATGTAGATCTGGCTTTCGACTGGTAAACCAAACCAATTGTGTTGCTGACGACGACTGTAGACATTTGGGTCCCGGTGCTTGCCAACACGGCTGCATTAAGGCAAATGGGAGGTGAGGGTGAATTTTATACTGCGTCACGATTAATATGAGAGCATTTTGATGACGTAATTCACTTAATCAGCTTGCTTTGTTCAAACATGGTTGGCTTCATCTACATTCTGCCTTTTAGAATACAGTGCACATGTCAAGACGGCTACATTCTTAGCTCCAACGGCAAAGATTGTCAAAGACAATTCAATGAAAGTGGTGAGACAAAACAATTCTAAAGAAAATTATAGAAATCTGTATGATATCACTATGTCAAAGTTATTCAATAAAACTGGCTAAGAAACCGCCAATTTTCTAATTCCTTTGCATGTCGTATCTTTTTGTGATAATGCCTGTATCGAAGCAAAAGAAATTCTGAATAAAATAAATTTTCCCCTTATTAGACACTGTAAATGCTCTTTCGATTCTAGACTGTGGAATCATGAAATCATTCACTGCCCCAGCACACAAGCTTTCAGTTGCGAAAAATTTCTGGCCGTGGCAAGCGTATTTGCAAAACTTATTTCCAACAAACAATTTGCAAATGACGATATCTGGGTGTATGGCTACCTTTATTAGTAAATACTATCTGATAACAACAGCTCATTGTTTATATTTGGGAAGATCACCAATCGCGTCATCGCAGCTACGAGTTCTGCCGGGATTTATACAAGGAAAAAAGGATGGAGAGAAGGAGCTACTTGTAGATGAAATAATTTTCCATCCAGAATATGGCAAAGGAGGTTCTAGACTTAAAAACGACATTGCTCTAATCAGACTTTTAAAACCAATCAGTGCCAGCCCTTTGTTGCAGCCAATTTGCATAAATCCCCCTAAAAAAGCCAAACTCAAAGACTTAGCATACATTATCAGTTGGGGACGAGTAGGGGAAAAAAGGTTTGTAGAGAAATTAGTTTATAGTCGGTATAAATATTTTTTATGTCCAGAAATGAACGCCCTTTTTTCGCCATAAATTTTAAGAAGGTCGGAAAGTGGATTGGGGATATATATGCCAACATCAAAAATGGTTTTAGGAAATGATTTTGTTTAACGGTTTACAATGAATTGTTGTGGCCATGCAAAGGCAGGAAATTTTATAACAAGTTAAAAGAAAATCAAGCAAGTGAATGATGATATCTTTTTATAATGAAATCTTTCTATAAGAACACGCTTCTTGCAATAAGGCATTGGACAATTTAGCCCAAATGGCACTCGTTTTATCACACATTTTGGCACAAAAGATGAAGCTCCAACCAACCATCCTTTAGCACGTCGTCGCATTTTTAGTAGACTAGCTCGTTTTTCAATGAGTGTAAGAGGTTAACCAACATTGAATGAAAAAGCAAAAAAAAAGAATGAAGTGGAAGAAAGAAACAAGCATTTGTTACTTTGTTCAGACGAAGAAATCTTTTCGATTACATAAGTACGATATTTCGATTACACAAGTTAAATCTAAGATTTCCATGATTTTGAAGAAAAAGCATTCACTCATTAAGTCTTGCTTTGCGAAATATAGATTCGAGTGAATTGATAATAGAATCTCTCTCTTTTAATGAATTGTTTCATTGACCTTTTAAAAGCCTGTTTTGCTTAAATGGTGCACAAATTGTACCCGTTTTAGTTTTTAATTATTTTGACCTTCAGAAATCAAATCTTTACCTACGTGAAAAAGTTATTTATTTTGTATATATATATATATTTATAAATATCTTTTTTTAGATCCTCTATTACACTACGAGAAAGTAACATTGAAATAAAAAATGCTACAAAGTGTTCTTGGCTTTATCCCTTTGGCTTCAATACACACAACATGATTTGTGCTGGCTATGTTCCTCCGACAAAAACGGTATGTCAGTCGCAACCCATCTAGTTAGTTTAGTTTAGTTAGTTAGTTGGTTGGTTAGTTAATTAGTTAGTTAGTTAGCTAGTTAATGGTACTTATTTTTACTTATTTAACAATGGCTAAAAAACGAAATTTTCTTACACCTGTTTTGATCCTAGGTGCCTTTGCAGTATAGCAAAACACCAAATGCAATGTTTTCTTTACGTATGTTTCCTTTACGAATGTTTCTTTTACGAATAACCGAGCATTTGTAAAACCGAGCATTTGCTTTTCTTGCGATGCTATGTAAAAGTGATACTTTTCTTGCAGGTTTGCCTTGCAGACAGTGGCACACCGTTGATGACCCAAAGTGCTTCTCAAAGCAAGTGGTATTTGCATGGGATTCTCGTGCATGGAGCTGGCTATCCAAGAGCTGCACCTTGTTCCAAAAAGTACTACTCGAACGCATATTATGACTTGACAGAATATCAAGAATGGATCCAAGCATTTGTGAAGTAGTTTTCTGCTTGATGACTTTTGCTGGTTTTCATGAAGAACATCAGCTTTAGTGATCAGCTTTATCTGACGTGTTAGCTTGTTTGTATTTTGGAGCTGTTTCTCTATGTTTTATCGCAGTATTACTCAGAGTAAGAAAAGAGACTAAGCCTCCAATTTTAAAGTTTCTTAACAGAGCCTATCATTACCCAAAGAAGACATCGTTTTCACCATAAAACAACATAAAAAAGAAGACACCCAAAGTGCCCATAAAAGGACCCATAATTACTAAGAAGACATCGTTTTCAAATTACCAAATTTTTACGTCGCAAAAATAACTTCAAAACGTGTAAAATAGAATCAGCCAAAAAGAAAAAGGCGCCAGAATTTTTTCAATATTCTTTAGGCGTTTAAATTCCTACAATAATATAAAAAAATTGGTAACAGAATAGATGACAGTTAATCTGCCGTGGTTTTGTGTTGCACAATTCTTTGTTATTGGTCTAGCCAATAACCAGATACATTTTTACCATTTAATATCATCCATTTAGATTTTTTGATGTAAAACATTGCATTCGATATACTGCATTGTAAATATGGCATTAAATATGTTTTCGATATTATTTTTTAAAATTTTGTTTGGCACTTATATGCTTTGTCTTAAGTGTGGAAACTTTGCATCCCTTAGTCAGTAATATCATAGCCACGCAAGAGGATCTAAAAATACCTACACCCAAAGACACTCGTGATTCTGACCATTGCCTCTCATATGAGACAGGTTAAGGATCTGGGGCACAGAATTATGCACGATCCAAGCGAGATTTAATATATCTTTATTCTTGGTTCAAAAGCGAAGGACGAAAAGTAAGATTATTTTCATGATTGTTGCAAATATCCTTTAATGGCTGAATATTCTCGTTACGTCATAAAAATGGTTCAAAATAAGGACCATTTCTTTCTAGACAATGTTAGTAAGAACGATTAAACATTACCACCTAAAGGTTTCCTGCATTAAAGAAATAATCTAAACTATCGAAAAGTTGGTTACCGATGCGATACAAAAACCTAAATCAATTTTTCATAAACTAATTTGAAAATGGCTTTGAAAAAAGCTAACATTTGAGTAAACTAAATCTTTTCGTCTCACACTTTTCAGAGTTTAAAATGTTAGAGCATTGATAGGGTTTTCGATCTATGTTTGCCATTTTCAAGTTTTGTACCACCAAAAGATTGCTTGCATAAACTAATTTTAAAATTAAATTAGTAAAGAGAAGCTACGAAGGTAAAATGTATAAAATAGTAGTTGCATGATAAAAGCACATGCATATGTAAAAATTGTCTCAGATTCTGTTTGCCATCTGATCTTCTTCAGCGATAACCTTGGCCATCTCAATATTCGACTTTCTTCGAGTAGGATCTACCCAAGAAGGATCTGGATGGTACTCGACCCAACCCCCTGTTAAGGTCTCCCAAACAGACGATCTCCAAGTTCCATTCCAGTGCTTTATCATCCAAAAGACTGCCCAAATAATAACAGGACCTATGCATGCAATAACAATTACAGCGATAATGAATTGTCCCCAACCTGGATAATCGACCCTCTTTGTCCATTCTTTTGTACCGTTATATCTTGATGAAAATGGTTTCTAAAATAAAAAGTAAAACTTATGTTTCCATAGAAAAAACAAAAGATTAAAGCATAAGCAGAGAGAGCTATGATGATATTACGAGAAACGAGTATGACATAAAGTATTGACGCAAGATAAAAAATCATAAACGGCAATCGCAGACTTAATGGCAATTTGCCTACTGCAAAATGACATACCGATTCGCAACCAACATAGGCGCTGTACTTGGCAGTGTCCTTTGCAGTTTCAACAATGCTTGCAATCAAAACGATGAAAATTGCTATGGGCGAGATGTATTTCCAGCACAACATCCAGAAAATATTAGGCCTTGATCCAGTCATGTACTCGATGTCATTGGCTATTCTGTAAGGAAATTCGTACTGTTTTATATTCGAACCAAAATATAATATCATATCTACTATAAAAAGCGTCCGAAAACACATAAAAGATTTTCAAGGTTATGGAGGGGATCCTAAAAAGGACTGGCGCTTATAAGGGAAAAAATATATTTAGAAGACCCTGAAGGCTGCCCGGGTAAGTTTGGGCGCTTATGCGCAGAAAGTGAAAATCAATAGCACAAACCGTTCATTTTTGTAAATCCATGAAATTCCGACGGTCTGGAACAAGGCAATCACAAGCAAAGGCAAAGCGACGCTGTAGTCGTCAAATATTTGAAAAATGTAGAAGCCAGGCGATGAGACGATGGCGATGCCGATCAGGAAGAACACGACAGCTAATAGTGCTAAAAGGAAGTTAGAATTGTTCTTCATTATGAAATTTGTCGACTGTAGAAATTACTATTGCTTAGTCAACATAGAATGCTAAGCTGTCTTCCACGCAGGATCCAGGTAGCAGAGAAGCAACCATAATTGTAATATAATGAAGCTAACACGTACCTGTAAAGAACTCTTTTCTCATTGGAATCAGCTTCATGTCGTATAGTGGCGCTACTGCTGCTTCCAATGTTCCAAACTCTGAGTCAATGCCCAGAAGGAGCAACATCATGAAAAACAAAACTGACCATAATGGTGACACATCCATCAGAAGAAATGCATCGCAGAAGGTAATAAAGGCCAAACCGGCACCGCCGCCCACCTAGAATGAATTTAGGTAACGCGTCACTGATAACAAGCAGAACGCAACTAAGACAAAATATATTGCTTTCTTGTTAATCATTGCAGCAAATAGAACTGCAAATATACTTGTTTTACAAACGTAAGCTGCCATTGTAAATTGTTTCCATCATTTTCCTGCTATATATTCACAAATCGCAACATCAATCATATTTTAATCACAAACAATCACAAAGTGTTTCATCACATCAAAATTTAATTGCAATCTAGAGGTTTCCGTCATTGAAAAGACTTGGCTCCACATGCAACATCAGAATCTTAAAATTAGTGAAAGTGTTTGAAATAGTTAAATGATGAATATATTTGTTAAGAATTTATCCTGATTATTTTCAAAAAGTGCTTCTACTTGTCCAGTGCTTGAATCAATAGGAAAGAAAAACTCACATACAACCAAAACACAATTGAAATTGTTTGCATCTCAGTAATTATTTTGAATTCCTTTTTTAATAATTTTTATGAGCAGAAGATGAACTAAAAGAGAGGCTTCTATCAACCTTTTTAGGAATCTTTCCGCTTTGGCTTCTTTCAACCGAATATCTCAATCTGCATTTCACATGTTCAACCAAGTTATACGACAATAATGGAAGAAAGACGATATCCACGAAAACAATCTACGCTGGCTAGAGCGCAAATCGGTTCAAACAAAATCGCTTTCATTTATAAGAAAAAAGGCAATTGCAGCACGTTACCTCATCTGCAGGAATACCAGTCTTCTTTGCTCGATAACCAAGGATCGAAAAAACGACGATGCCAGCAAAAATGGAGGTTCCACAATTAATAAGCACAACAGTGTACGCGTCGCGTATGCAGTTGTTTTTTCTCGGCATGTAGCTGGCAAAGGCAATCAGGGCTCCGAAACCAAGACTTAGCGTAAAAAACATTTGAGTTGCTGCATCAAGCCATATGCGAGCATTCAATAGCTTTGAAAACTAAAGAGAGAGAGAGAGAGAAAGAAATTGTTAAAGAATTATCAACTGGATTGAGTAAAAGCACAATTGACTTTATTGAAAAAATCTACTGAAATATGCGAAGAAAGAAAAATCAAGTGTAATTCATGTTGTTATATTCTGCTGCTTAAATGAAAGTCGTCCTTGGATGTAAGCGGCCCCTATGTCAACAGTAACAACCCGGTGAACCCCAGTATTGGTTACAGCAGTGGCTAGTCCTTCACAATCTCATCAATTTTACAACTTAAACCGACAATCTTTGAAAAATCAAAGGGTGTGAGAGTTTTTGTACAGCATCAAACATTAATTTTGGTTTGACTTTGTTATTCAATTGTATGTCAATTAGCTTAGGTTTTTAGGCAGGGCACATTGTAAATCAGTTATTATTTTTTCATTTACTGAATGTATTATCCTGTATAAATAATTAAAAATCAAATCAAATCAAATCAAATCAAATCAAATCAAATCAAATCAAATCAAATCAAATCAAATCAATGCTATGTTATGTTATGTTATGTTATGTTATGTTATGTTATGTTATGTTATGTTATGTTATGTTATGTTATGTTATGTTATGTTATATTGTGTCATGTCATGTCATGTCATGTCATGTCATGTTATGTTATGTTATGTTATGTTATGTTATGTTATGTTATGTTATGTTATGTTATGTTATGTTATGTTATGTTATGTTATGTTATGTTATGTTATGTATGTTATGTTATGTTATGTTATGTTATGTTATGTTATGTTATGTTATGTTATGTTATGTTATGTTATGTTATGTTATGTTATGTTATGTTATGTTATGTTATGTTATGTTAAGTTATCCATTTTGGTAGACTCTGGTGCATTTTGATTCCCACCATTGAGAACAAACAAAGAAAAATAAAGTCCCATGAAATAACAAAAAGGTGCTCACATCTGGCTTGAACAAAGTGACAAGACCATCCCCAGCACCTTCCAAAGTAACACCACGGAAGAAAAATATCACTAGGATGAGGTAGGGAAACGTTGCAGTGAAGTAAACGGCCTGAAAACGTAAGATGTTCACATTAATTAAAAAGGAGTAAAATAATTTTTCTGCGAAGATGAGAAAAATTTATCCAATAAATGAAAGTAAATGAAAAGAAAGCTACAAGTCACAATACCTTTCCACTTGATTTGACACCCTTAACAATGCACAAGTAGGTGATAACCCATGCAAGGGCTAGACAACCGACCAAAGGACCGTTGACGCCTGACCCCAAGTCATCAATACCCGTGGACACTTTCAAAGCCTTTTCATAGAAATAATAGGCTTGCGGGTCCCTCAAACAGCAGTCGTTTGTGACGTTTTTCACAGCTTTCCGTAAAGCTATCCCTGATAGATTTTTGACTAGGGGCCATTTTTCACAGCTAGACATATGCCAAGGTAACGTCTTTGCAAAGGAAACGAACATATAATAAAGACACCACGCAATGACGACTACGTAGTAAATGCAAAGCATAAATGAGACAATGACGCAGGAGACACCAACGCCAGTCAAGGCAGGATGCACATTCTTCCAGCAATTGATGGCGCTTCTGCGCATCCGTTGGCCGATGGCAAACTCGATGATGAAGAGAGGGATCCCTTCGATGATCATAAATATGAAGTACGGAATGAGAAAAGCACCTAAAATGAATAAGCATCAAGATTCAAACAACAGGTATATAATGTAAGCGATGCAAAAACAAAATTTTTAGATCAATCTTCCGCAAATCTTCCGGTATGTTCTCAAGTGTGGCGTCATAAAATTCTACTTTCAGAATTCTTGTCTTTAGACCACACAACGTTGAAGAGCACCATATAATGCCTTAAAAATATCAAAATTAGATAAATCTATTGCGATTAATGATATGGTTGCTATAAGAACTTCTAATAAATTACTGTAATTTTGGCTTGGTTCATGAAGTTTTACACCAAAACTAAAATAAAATGCTTTGCTAGGAATCGAGCCTGCGGTCGTGTGGCTTTAATCAGCCAATTTGAAGTAAATAGAGTACCGAGGTGCTGACGTGACAAAATCTATTTTTAGAATTTTTCACTTTTGATCCAAAAACCTGAAAGAACATCATGAAATACCTCTAAACATGCAAAATCAGTAGAATATGTGACAAGTTGGAGGAGATATGGCCACATGAGCACAGGCTCTTGCCCCATCAAACCTCTGTAATTTCGTCTTGGTTCATAACTTTATGAACCAGGCCAGAATAACAAGCAAACTTGAAATCTTTCATTGGCCATATCTCGCCCAATTTTGAATATATCTAGCAAATTTTGCATATTGAGAAGTTTTATGGCATTCCTTCAGAGTATGTGGTCAAGATTAAGAAATTCTTAGAATAGATTTTTGATGACGGCATATTCGGTACTCTATTCAAGTAGTTTTGCAGATTTTTAGATATTTAAAGAAGTCCTTTTAGGTTCTGTGGTTTGAGTCCAAAAATATCCAAAGCAGGTTTCTGTGACGCTTGTGACGTTAAAATCAGATTTTCAAATTACTTTAGAACTCTTTGCAAGGTCATGTAGCGTCTTAGAATTAAAAAATGGATCAAAATGCTGGAAATGCATTTGAACTCACCTCCCCCGTTCTTCTGGCAAAGGTAAGGAAATCTCCACACATTTCCTAAGCCAACAGCTAACCCAATGGAGGCTAAGATGAATTCCCATTTGTTCCCCCAGCCTTCTCGTTCATCGCCAGTTTCCTTAATCATTTCATCGGTCGACTTCCCCATAACATCCAAACTTTGTTGAGATGGAAGAATATACGGCTTGGATTGAGCTACAAAAAAACATTACTGGGATCAAGTTTACTGGATTTGCAGATTCTTGTGATTTGATTAAAAAGATTGGATTAAGAAAATTTGTTTGTTTAGCAAGATGTTATACTCTTTTTTATCAAACAGGCCCAAAATAAGAGTAGGATAAAACACGCCCAGCCTCATATTGAAAACTAGTAGAAAAAAAGCAAGTTCTTTGAAGACTTTTGTTCGCGTTAATAAAACAGAGCAGATAATTTATTGTTGCATAGTTGTAAAAAAATTAATGTTGATATAAGAACAACAATAAGAACGCCCGTGCCCTATGTTATCTCAAAAATAGAACTTTAAGCGTCGGAAAAATTGTCTGCTGCTTATCAAAAGATTTTGAATGCAACCCAGGGTATGTCATTGGATACTGCAAGGGTAGTCCTTTACAATCTCATCAATTTTACTTAGCCAATCATGTTTTACCAACATGCTGAACACAGTTACGTTTAATTTTTGTTTTTTTACCACACTTCTTTTTCGGTATCAATCATAATTTTGCTGCGGCTTTATGTACAGAAAGCCGCTGCTTACAAGTTTTCTAAGCCAAAAAGTGGAACTAATATGCTTTGTTTGATAACACATTTCAGAATCAGCAAACATGCATTAAGGGGGGAATTTGTGAATAGGGCAAAGATACATCACAGAGCTGGGATTAGGATAATTCTTTTCAGCTCAAAATAATCCAGTGATCGTACGAGTTCGTTGTGTTGTTCGCTTATTGCTTTATTGACATTTATTTTACAGAATATCCGGTCAAGAAAAGATCGTTGAGCCAAAAGAAGCTGCCGCTGGTGTATTCAGTTCATCAAAATCTCGAGCCAGCCAGCCCGAAGCTTTTCCTTTGCAATCGAAACGATATTTATAACTTATTTTTGAAAATAATCTTACAATATTTATAACTTAAAAAAATAACCAATTTAAAATACTTAAATATCTAATTTCAGGCATTTTGGGGCCCTTTCGTAAGAAAACCTCACCTGAAACGATGAATTACCGTTAAATACCTTCAGGGCCGGCGAAACCGGGGGCATGCCCCTCATTTTTCTGCAGAGTAAAAAATTTTTTTAGACAAATGTGGAAAAATGTGGTATATCATTCTGTAACTATGCCTAGTACTTCTTAAAATATGCCTTTAGCTTTAGCTTGGATGCTAGGTCTTAGCTATAGAAGACATATGTAAAATTGAATATTGGAATTTGATTGAAGAAATTTGTCATTGTCCAAGTTGTACAGCTAGTAATAGCTTGGCTTAGGATATAGATCGAGAAACCCGATTCGGAATAACTTGGTGCTGCATAAATTTTCAAATCTGAGACAAAATTTTCAAATCTGGTGATAGGCACTGCCCTGATTTTCAATATCAAATAAAAAAATTATTTTTGACCAATATTGACCAATTTTTACAACCAAATTTGGCCCTTGAAGATTCAGGTTTTAACTGAAAAAAATCAGAGCAGCAAATTGGTAAATCCCGAGATATCATTTTGTTTTTGGTGAAATCTAGTATTTTCTTTACAAAAGTAAATTGCCCCTCGACCATACGGCAAGTACTTTAGTCCATGCAATTTTATGTTTCTAAAAGGTTCGTTTGACTTCTCCTTTTTAACCACAGTTTGTGAGTTTTCCGACATACAAGGATTTTTCCTAAAACCCGTCAAAATTGAAAACAGAGGGAGCCACGGCCTTCCTGCATCCCCCGACCACGACGCCCCTGACGGAATCAAACATAACTTTATACACAGGTATCTATGTTCTGCGACATGAGATCTTTAATCACAGAAATCTTGCACTGAAATTGCCATGTGCTTATTAAACAAAGAAAAAACCTTCTTGTATTAAAGTAAACTTTTTACACTGCAATATTTGTTTCTTCCTGGATGTGTAAATGAGTAATTTGCTTGCCCAACAAAATAAGACTTAGAATTTGATTGATTTGACCAAGAAAATTTACCACTGGCTTGACTAGATGCAGAGTTCCCATCTTCTAAAGGTTGCAAGGGCTTAACCCTAACTACTGTTACTTATCTCTATGCCTAGGATTTTGCAATTCAATCTGCTTGATTGCAAAGAACTGTCAAATTAACGAACATTTAATCTCGGGCCATTAGTAGCTTTAGTAGCCTTACTTCTTTCTAGCTTAGAGGTTTTTCTTGTCCATGAGGGCAATTCAGGGGGTGCCAACAAGACTCTCTTCTTTATGTAATCAAAAATATTCTACGTAATGAGTTATTTGTTTCATATGCCTATCTTGATCGCAAGTAAAAGCAAGAAATGTGAATCCAACATGTGAGCGATGTGATGAAAAGGATACACGGACGAATACCTAAAATAAGATTTGTGTGGCCAAAACTGTCTGATAAAATGTTGTTGGTTTTGTTGATAATTGGCGGGACAGTCAATGTCTGAATTGGGCAAAGCAAAAAGTAGTCGCATATGTGTTTTTACTAGAAGGTCTGAGCTACGAGAAATCCAAAATAAAAAGGACTTGCACATTTTTCATACGATGTTTGATGATCTTCAAAAATCGTTGTGAAAGATTTTTGGTTGACTTTGTCTTATGAGATTGTGGCCATGAACAAAACGAATTCAGAAGACAAACAGAAACAAGCCAGTATTGTCCATATAGGGCATACACGCTTTTTTTTTTATAAGGAACCTAGCTCGGGCCTAGTTCTTTAAATTCCTTATTTTGAGACCTGTTTTGACCACTTTGTAGTTCTAAAAGTTCCTTAATAGTTCCTTAATTTTAAGTTGGCATTTAGTGGACAATAATTAGTACAGACGCAAGAAAAACAATCAAATTCAGCGTTTTGCTATAAACTTAAGAAAAGATAACAAGTTAAAACACAAAGAAGCTTCATATAATATAAAATTAATAATAATAGTCATTAAAGAAGTTGCATATCCACTCCATTGATGTCGTCTGACACAATGTAGTCTTCAGTACCGTCTTCGAAAAGAACTCTAAACTCTCCCAGCTTGGTGTTGAACCACTTCACTTGTCCAGTGTGCCATTCGTCGTAGAATGCGCGTATTTTTTTATTAATCAACTCATGTTCGTAGACACGATCTTTTACATGGTCTACCCTTTTCTTACGCTGAATTCTCCTCAACTTGATTTTGTACTTCCTGATAAAGTTGAAGACTGCAGATTTCGGGATAGCTTTAATATCTGATTGGGCACTTTGGTCGAATTCGGGGTTAATCTTCCTAGCATTTGCGTACAGCCATGCAAAAGATATTCGCATCCCCTTGGATCTTGCTTGTAGGAACTTTTCGTGAAGCATCACGAAGACTTGCTTATGCCTTGTGCTGGGTCTGATCTTTTTCATCATTTTCCTGTGGCTATCGGCGGCTGCATCAGTAATTTTCTTCTCATTTTTAACCCAGGTCGATACCATCGATTTAGAGATGTTGTATTTGAATGCAACGTCATTCTTTTGGTTTTTCTTTGCTTCCTCGATAACTTTTAGCTTAAATTCGGTGTCATAAGATAGTCTGTTCTTCTTCTCTCGATGGTGCTGACTGCTTTCTCCTGCTTCTGACGCTCTAGCACTTTTCTCTATCTCTTGACATTCCTCTACAGTTTCTTCGATGTTCTCATCCACATCAATAGCAGTTGGTTCTTTTTGTGGCTCAACAGCCTCGGCGCTACTTTCCAAGATCAATGGAATTTCATCGATTTTTTTAGTTGGTTGTTCTTTTTCTCTCTCACTGTCTTTTTTCGAAGTGCACCAAGACACGTGCATCGTAAGGCCAGACTTACTTTTGAAATGCTTGTTGCATGTGTCACAACGATACAAACTTACATCATCATCCTCAACAAACGAACGACCAGGGACTTCTTGTAACTCAGTTCGATGAGGTATCTTTTTAGAAAAACCGAACTTGAACAACGTTGACTGCTTTTTCTTATCTCCCATATTGCAACTACTGTAATACTCAGCCACACACACAGAATAAGAATTCTATTTTGTTGTGACTAACCTATTTGACTAAAACTAAAACACCTAAAGTGTGAATTCACAACAAAGCACAGCTGCATGTGAGGTGAGTTAAAACGGAAATTTCTCATGTTGATTCTTGGCCCCATGAGCATGGCCGGTTTTACTGAAAATCAATGGAACCGGCTTCCTAATTGTAAATTGTGCGGAAATATAAATATATTCAAAATTAAAAAGTTCCTTAGGGATTTGGCCTTTAGTAGTAAAAGTTCCTTAAGTTTTTTGACCTTCTACATGTAGGTTCCTTATAAACGGTTCCTTATAAAAAAAAAAGCGTGTATTGTCAATAAAATTCATAACCTGCAATTTTTGCATTTCGGCACATTTTGCAACCGCGAAAGGCGTTTATTTTGTCGTTGATGTTACATTTACACTGAGATAAATAATGAACCAATCGTTCCGGGTCAAATGTGGTAATTCATATTGTAATTCACAAATGGTCAGATGTCAATCAAGGAGGCAAAACTGGGAAGTGACTTGGCTCAACCACAAGATCTAGATTCAATAGAAAATCTTGTGATATGAATGGTGTCTGTAGTATCGTTTCATCTGAGAAGAAAAAGAAACCATATTCGCAAAAAGCCCTTTCAAAAGTTACCTCAGTGATAATCACGCCGCGAATATTATCAAAAAACAATTTTTTGAAATTGAAAGTATGATGCGAAATACATCTCCTGAAATCTGTTGGAATTATTGGTAAATTTCCGAGAGAAGCTTTTAGTATAGTATTAAAAATGCCAAAAAATTAAAGGTTAGTAATAGCATATCTTGGAAATAGCTAAAGTAAAGAAAAACACGAATGAAACAAATCTTAAAAGCAAATGGGTTCCATTCAATTTGCACTTGGGTTGGTAGATCAGATCAAAACACCAATCAAGCAGAATATCAAACGCTACGAAGAAGCTCCCGTTAGAGCACGCGGTAGCTTACTTACCGACATCGTAGGAACGGGCTTCTTTAATATCCAT